TCAATGTTCACAGTAGGGACCTCTCAGAGATAGAGGGAGAGAATGAGGATTGCAGAGGGGAGGTGACAATGGGATTTAGTTTTGCCTACAATCGTTTTATTCTTTCCAGATAGAATGTGTTTACATACCACTGTGTCATTAAACGCCGAATGAAAAAATTAGGGAGCAATTTTTTCTTTTCTTTTTTTTTTTTTTTTTTTTTTTTTTTTGAGACAGGGTCTTGCTGTGTTGCCCAGGCTGGAGTGCAGTGGCGAGATCTTGGCTCAGTGCAACCTCTGCCCCCCAGCTCAAGTGATTCTCCCATCTCAGCCTTCTGAGTAGCTGGGACTACAGGAGTAGGCCAATGTACCCAGCTAATGTTTGTATTTTTTGTAAAGTTGGGCTCTCACTGTTTTGCCCAGGCTGGCCTACAACTCCTGAGCTCAAGCGATCTGCCCCGCTTGGCTTCCCCAAAGTGCTGGGATTATAGGCATAAGCCACCACCTCTGGCTGGGAGCACTTTTTGAATTATACTCCAAGACAACGTTCAAAAATTACTCAAAAAATTCAAAAAAGAGATCAGAGAAAAAGATAAAAGAAAGAAAGAAATGTGACTGGCACACAGAAACTTTTCTGGGGGTGTTTGCGAAGTTCTGCTCCTTGACCTGGTTGGTAGTTCCATAGGCGTTCAATTTAGAGTAAGTCATTATCTTGTAAATTTATGGGTTTTGTGTTTTTCTATCTGCATGTTAATTTCACAATTTCAAAAGTGTTTTGATTTTTTTTTATAAGTATTGAATAGAGTTGGCTGGCTGCCCTGCCCAAAGTGAACGAGGGCATTCAGAGCCCGGGGTAGGGACTGAAGTGGGCAACCAAAGACCTAGAGTGTCAGAGGAAGAGGGGGAACTTTGTCCGCCCTTGTCCCGCCCCCAACACCTGCTCCTGCACTACTCACCATCAGCAGGCCGGGTAAGGATTGGAGGGGTGGGCTGGACGTCTGGGTAGATTGCATCTGGAGTCCAGAAACAGGGGGTCAGGGAGAGAAAAGGAAAGAGAGAGAAGTGGACAAGGTGTGCGAATGGAGGCGCCAGAGACTCCCACAGCATCTCAACTTTAATGTAATAGAAATGGCTTAACTAATCCAGCCATTTGCTAACTGCTGAAATGTGCTACCCATATACCTGAAGTAAGGGTACTTCAGGACCTCACGTCCCACAGATGCCACACTACAGCTCCTTCTTCGGGATGCTGGCTGCAAACTAGCTTTCTCAAGACTCTGAGAAGTGCTGCCTAAAAAAAACATGTTTAACTCAGCTTCCCAGTGCACCTGCTCTGATAACAGCCCCCAGAACTTTCTTTAGGGACCATCATTCCCTGACTTTTGGTCCACTTTATTCAGCAAGGTTGATACCAGCCCTGGTGGAGATTGGGCCTGGGACCCAGGCCTCGGCAATCAGCTTTCTATGCCTGTGGCCACAGTGCTCAGCTCAGAGATACGACCTGAGCCTGGCCAAAGACAACTCAGTTCTGGGACATTTGCTCAACTGGGGAAGGGAAAGTCTCTTGCTGGGATTCTTAGCAGGCAGGATGAAAGCCCCAGACTTCAAGGGCCCATGAGAGGAGACTCTGCCTGAAAATGAAGCCAACACAGAGAAAACAGAACCAAGGGGTAGAAGGAGGTTCCTGATAGCAACGTTTGAGCACCTAAATCAAGCCATGCCTGAAGGTCGGTACCTCGCCTTTTTTGTTACATAAATCCATAAATTCCCTTGTTTGGTCCAAGTTTGGGATTTGTGTTGCTGTTGTTATTTGCAATGATAGGATCTTGATAGAAGTGTCCCTCTTTCCTTACCTGGGGCTGGGGTCAGAACCTGAAAGCCCACGGTATTTGGGTCTGCTGAAGCAGTGGATGTGGGCTCCTTCGGCGTCTGTCCTGCGGAATCAAGGATGAGAAGCTGGGAGGGAGCCTGTCCTCCTCTTCCCTCCACCTCCACCCTCCCCTCCCTGGTGAAATAGTGGGGCTCCTGTCTGCTGGTGGACCTTCTCAGCTTTGGCTGCATCAATCCATAATTCTGGAAGTTTTCAGCTATGTTAATGCCCGGGAACCCTTCTTCTAGGCCCCCTCCAGCCCATCCCTGTGGAATGGGAGAGGCAGTTTAGTCTGGTGAGCCCAGGTGCTAGGGTCAGCCAGGTCCCTGGTTTCAAATCGTGGCCCCAACAACTTCCTTGCTGTGTGCCTGGAACAAGTGAAGTTCTTTCTCTGGGAATCAGTTGCCTCAGCTGCAAAGCAGGGATGATAATTGAATCTATTTCACAGGGCTACAGATAGGGTAAAAGGACACGGAGCAGGGGAAGGGCCTCCCACACCGCTTTCCACGTGGTCAGTCCTGGATACCTCCACTGCCCCCACACTGGCCCTGCCTCCGTCCCGTCCAGCCCGGACGTCCCCGCAGCCTCCTCTCTGGCCTCTCTGCTCCAGTCCCTGCCTCCACAGTCTGTTCCCACCTGCAGCCAGAGGGAGCCTGGGAACACCTGAGTTTTGTTGGGGCCCATCTGGCTCAAACCCTGCCCTGGCCACACCACACTCCACATAAAAGCAAAGCCCTAGCGTGGCCCATAAGTCTCCCTCCATCTGGCCCCTGCCACTTCTCTCTCCTCTGTCATCACACTCTGCCCCTTCTCGGCCCCTGTAGTCCTAATCCAGCCACCCCACCTGCCTGCTCTTCTTCAGACACACCAGTCAACACTCAGCCCACACACACCTGCAAGGCCCACTCCCTCATCTCCTCCAAGTGTTTGTTGGTCCAAATGTCACCTCCTCAGTGAGGCCCTCCCTGACCACCCAGTTGAAACAATCCCCATTACCTCTACTTTTCCGCAAGCACATATCACCTCCTAGCACACGATATAATTTACTAACTTGTCTCTCCCCGCTAGCGGGTAACCTCTTGTCTTATTCACTGCTGTTTCCCCAGTGCACAGAATATCTAGCACATAGCAGGTGCTCAATAAATATTTCTCAAATGACTGAATGAGTGAACGAAAATCATTTTATGAAGGAGAAATGAGGGGCGCCGTTAGTGGGGTGTGCATTCTGGGTTCTGGGGGCAGGAAGAACAGTTGTTTTCCCAGCTCCTCCACCCACTGGCCTTTGACAGAGGGCACTTCCCTTTGCTGAACCTCAGTTTCCTCATCAGTAAAATGGGCATGACAACAGAGTGACTGACTGACAGAGGCAAAGCCTAACTGAGCTAACGCACACCACACCTGCCATGCAGAAAGCATGCGCAATGGCCCCCAGCGGCTCCCGTCAACTCTTTGGACTAACCCGCTCAACTGCTTTTCCTAACTGTCTGATGCCTGGGAACCCAGCGATCTGCTTTTCTGGGAGCCCAGGTTTCCTGGCTGCCAAGTAGAAAACCGACACCAATCTTCTGGCCAAATCAAACTCAGTGAGTTCTTCGTGGAGGTGAAATTGGAGGATGCTCAGCAGGACAGGCCCTGGCAAGACTCACTGGAAGCAGCCACCGGGATCTGAGGTGTCCAAAGAGGGTGTAACATCGTCGCCCCGCCATGGGGATCCCCACTGCCTGGTGCCCGCTCAGCGGGAGGGTGACGGGGCGGGACAGAGCATCCACACTCGCCAGCCAGCCACCCACCCCGAAGCACACGTAGGGCCGGCCTGGCATGGGGCTCTGGGGCAGGGTGGAGGCCAGGGATGGGTCTTACCTCTGGTGGGGAGAATCAGGCCAACGATGGTGAGAAGACACAGGCGACCAGAGGGCGACATCTGTGGGACCAGGTGATGCAGGGGTCAGCCATGATGTCAGTGAGGCTGACCTGGGGCCGCCCCGAGGACCCTGCAGCCCCTTCCCTGCCCTGAGCAAACACCTCTGGCTTCCAGGACCCCCTACCAGGGCTGACGGCTGGCGTCAGGGGCAGGGGGAGGGTCTCAGTGGTGGAGATACCTAACCGTCACCCTGCTTCCTTCCTCTGCAGGTCCCCAAAGAAAACAAGAAGCATCAGATAAAATGGGTCTCCCAGCAGCTGCAAGGGCCGGCGAGGCCTTCTGAAGCACCTCCCGGCGCCTTCCGCTGCACTTACCCCTCGCTGGGACTGACACAGGAGGGGACTGGGGCAGAAGAGTAGACAGGAGACCTCTTCCCTCCCCCGCAGGCCCGGAGCCCAGGAGTCGGCGCGGAGGGGAAGGAGGAAGAGTGAGTAACCCCTCCTGCGCTCAGAGGAAAAAGTGAGTTGGTGTCCGGGGCCGCCTTGCAGGGATGGCGCGCTGGGGAGATGAGGCACTGGTCCGAAGGGGGTGGCGGAGAGCTGGGGAGACTGAGGCAGGCGGGCGGGAGCGAGGCAGAGCGGCCCACTGCAACCCAGGAAAGGAGGCAGAGAGATGTGGGCGTGGATAGGGGCGGAGAGGCGCGGAAGGGGCCAGACCCCTGCCCACCTGAGCCCGCCCCTGGGCAGAGGGGCGGCGGACGGAGGCGGCGCGCCACAGGGACTTACGTCGGAGCTGGGGGTCCGGAGCCGGCAGCCTCGTGGGGAAAGGGACGCGGCGGTGGCTGCTGCGTCCAGGCGGAGGGTGTGGCCAGGGGAGCGCGCGCGGGCGGGGACCCAGACGGGCTCAGTCATTTCCTCTTGGGTTTCCTGACTTCAGAGCCCGGGTGGGAGCAGGAGGGGGAGACGCTGAGGGCGACGGGGGCCAGGGGTGAGGCCTTCGCGGTGGGGGAGGGTGGGGACGGTGATGGGGCAGGCAGGTCTGAGGTGAGTGGGCGCCTCTGAGAGAGCAGAGGGAGAAAGGGGAGGGGTCTATTCTGGGACCGCTGGAGGAAGGGAAAGGACGAATCCGAAGGTGTTGAGGAAGAAGGGACTGGAGGGGCAACTCGGGGCACTGGCAGAGGGGAAGGAGGAGGGGGCAACCCCGGGCACGCAGGGGAGAGCTGCCCCAGGTTCCGTTCTGCACCCCTGCCCCCACCGTGCCCACAGATGAGAACACACAGACAGAACAGGGGAAAAAACCAAATGCACATTTATTAAGCTCAAGACATGGACACCGAGGGGCCAGGGGGACGGATCTTCGGGGAGGAGACAAGGAGGTGCAGCGGGGCCGTACACGGGGATGCTGGGGACGCTGGGGCGGAGTGGACTCCCGAATCTCGGGAGCTGGAGGCCTGAGGCCCCGGGTCTGGGGTGCAGATGGGCTCTTTGGGGGATCGTCATTGCCAAGGCCTGGGGAGGGACAGCGGGGTGCAGCGGCTCCGGCCTTGGGGTGGGTGGGGCGGCTCATTCCGGGGAGCGCTCCCGGCGCGCGGCTGGGTCCCCACCGCCTCCACCCGGTCCTCAGGCTCCCGCACTCAGGCAGGGTCGGCAGCGGAGGTTCCTCGGGCAGGTCTTACACGCCGCCGCCGCCAGGGGCTGGGGAGAGAGGGAGTTGCATGAGCCACCCGAGACGGGAAACTGCCTCCCTCCCCACAGCTCGTTGGCGCTCCATTCCCCGGCACCGTGGAAGCCAGACCCCCTAGGCCTGTCACCCCTGAGCTAACACTGAGGAGTTATCTTGCCTCCCACACTCTAATGTCTGGTTCCCTTGGGGACACCTCGTGGCTGCTGCCATGGAGAGAAACACACCTGCCATGGGGCTGGTGACCCCAGACCCAACCTGGGCTTTTTGGGTTGTCCCCTGCCAAAAACGGAGTCCCCTTCCACATCCCCAGTCTCCTCCTACACCCCCACTCCTTTCCTACACTCCCTGTCCTGAACATTTGGATACCACGGAAGTTCCCCCATTCCCACCCACTCCAGACCATCATTCACCTGGGACAGGCCAGAAACCTGTGCAAAATCTTCAGCTGTGCCCAGGTACCAAGGCCACCCCACACACTGGCCCAGGCATCCATAAGTGCCCTGCTCATGTTTTATATCTCATTAAACAAACATGAAACAGACCAGGTGGGGAGGCTGGGGCCTGTAGTCCAAGCACTTTGGAAGGCCGAGGCAGGTGGATCACTTGAGGTCAGGAGTTTGAGACCATCCTGGCCAACATGGTGAAACACCAATCCCAGCACTTTGGGAGGCTGAGGTGGGTGGATCACGAGGTCAGGAGATCAGGACCATCCTGGCCAACATGGTAAAGCCCCGACTCCGATAAAAATTTAAAAAACATTAGCTGGGCGTGGTGGCCTGCACCTGTAGTCCCAGCTACTCAGGAGGCTGAGGCAGGAGAATTCCTTGAACCTGGGAGGCACAGTTTGCAGTGAGCCAAGATTGTGCCACTGCACTCCAGCCTGGGTGACAGAGCAAGACTCTGTCTCAAAAAATAAAATAAAAATTAGCCGGGTATGGTGGTGTATGCCTATAGTCTCAGCTACTTGGGAGGCTGAGGCAAGAGATTCGCTTCAACCTGGGATGCAGAGGTCGCAGTGAGCTGAGATTGTGCCACTGCACTCCAGCCTGGAGACAGAGCGAGACTCTGTGCACAGAATATCTTGCGCACATAGTAGGTGCTCAAAAAAAAAAAAAAAAAGAAACAAATTTCACACCAAATATCCCCCAACTATTGAATAATCCAGTGTCCACCTCCCACTTTTTTTTTTTTTTTTTTTTTTTTTTTTTTTTTTTTTTAGTTATAAGAACCTTATAAGAGGCACAGAAATTCCCATCTCTGGTTTTTTACAAGTCTCCAGAAAGGCTGCACTTCCACTAAAAACAGGTCAAGATATTTTTACATAATTAAAATTAACACCCCCAAGGAGTCAGAATCTTTTGTCTACATGCTTGCCCTGCATCCCTCTCACTCTCCATTTACACCTTCCATGCCTGCACCCACTCTCCCTCCTCCACCCTGCTTGCCTCCTTCTCCCTCCTCCCCTTTCTTCCCGCGCTCCTCCTTCCCACATTCTCCCCAACACCTCCATCCTCTCCCCTCTCCCGCTCCCATACTTCCCAGCTTTCTTCTCCATTCCCACACTAGCTACATCCCATCTGTTCTTTTCCAATAGAATCTGCATTCTATTCATCCCTCTTTTTGTTATTTTGATGCAGTTATTCAGAAATCTTCCCTCCCTCCTTCTGTCCCTTTTCCTCTGCCTATTTCATCCTGGATCTGCCTGGCTGAAAGATCAAGTCTGGAAAGCCTCTCCTGTCTTCCCCAGTGCTCCCTCTCTCTCCCTCCTGACTAGCAAAGCTCCTCCCACATGGCGGCGCCCCTCTCTTCACAGGCTTGTGGCTTCTCTCCTGGGAAATCAGCTTGTCCTGGCTTTTCTAGGGTTGAGCATTTGTTTCTGGGAATCTTCGTGGACTCTGGGACACGTCACATCCCACTGCCTCCCCAGGGTTTAGCCTCTTTCTTTTTTTCCTTCTTTCTTTTCTTCTTCTTTCTTTTCTTTTCTTTCTTTTTCCTTCCTTCCTTCTTTCTTTTTTTTTTTTTTTTTGACAGGGTCTTGCTCTGTTGCCCAGGCTGGAGTGGAGTGGCATGATCTCAGCTCACTGCAACCTCTGCTTCTTGGGTTCAAGTGATTCTCCTGCTTCAGCCTCCCAAGTAACTGGGACGACAGATATGAACTACCACATCTGGCTAATTTTTGTAGTTTTAGTAGAGACGAGGTTTCATCATATTGGCCAGGCTGGTCTCCAACTCCTGACCTTGTGATCCACCCACCTCGGCCTCTGACAGTGCTGGAATTACAGGCGTGAGCCACCGCGCCTGGCCAGCTTTAGTATGTTTCATCTACGGCATTGCCCTGGCTTCCTGGGGAATTGTCCCGTGATAACCTGCAGGCGGCAACCCTGTCTGGTCCATCCATACAACTTGCCTTCTGAGGGTTCCCTTCCCTGCCCCAACCAAAACCCTCCCAGAACCACACCGTTTCTCACCCTCACCTGAGGAAGGAAGCTCGGACTTACAGGATTTGCAGGTTGGGCTGTGGAGGCAGAGATGAAAGAGAAAAGCCGAAAGAGGGTCAGCAACCACAGACTTTGGGGAAAACATGTGGCAGGCCCCTGCGGACCCTGCCCTGCTGCTAGGGAGGCACCCCAAGGCCCCAGGCTGCTCCCACCCCCTCCCGCTCTCTGCCCACTCCTGCCAGACCTCTCAGACCTGGAGTCCGCCTTCCTGCACTTCACCTTCTTGCCTGTTGAGAGAGAGACAGAACACGAGGACAGGACATAGGGTGTAGGATATGGATGGAAGCCGGCAGGGAAAGTGGAGGCCGAGACAGCCCAGGAAGGGGTTGCACTTACTGATGATGATGAGGATACCCAGCAGGAACAAGATGGTGGCCAGAGTCATGCCCACCGTCTGTACCGTATTGTAGTCTGTGGGAGACAAAGGGGGATATCGAGGCAGGGGTGGCACCTCAGCTCCTCCTAGAGTCCCAGTCCTGGCTTTGGGCTGCCCAGCCAGGGGCCCAGAATTGCCCAGGGAGGCTGTGGGCCATGCTGGACACTCCTCCAGGGGCCTGATGTGAGAGTGCAGGGCGAGGGCTTGGGCACTGTTAGCTCCCCTTGCCATCTGTGTCCTCTACCCTCCTCCCCTGCCCTCTCCCGCTGCATTTCCACCCTAGATTGATAGGTAATACTCTCCCTCTACCACCTCCTCCCTGGTCCTGGTTCTGTCCACCATTGTTGCCCATCTGGCCTCTGCAGCAGCCTTCTCTAGGGTCTTACTGCCCTGCCCACACCCCTATCCCCGATAGCCACAAGGACCCATCACCATCTGAGTCAGATTGGGTTCCTCCTGCACTCAGAGCCCTCCCTCGAACGCACTGCTCTCAAGGTAGAAACCAAAGTCCTCGCTATGGTCCTCACAGCCCTGTGGGATCCAGTCCCTTTCCTCCTCAGCTCTCATCCCACTTCACTCTCCCCATCAATCCTACTCTAACCACTGTTGGACAATGGCCTCTCCACTGTTCCTAGGGCATATCTGGCGTGATCCTACCTCAGGGCCTTTGCACTGGCTGTTCCCGCAGCCTGAAAGCTCTTCCCCCAAATATCCACATGGCTGCTTCCCTCGCCAATGTCTGGGCTTTATTCGATTGTGAGCAAAATCTTCTCTGGCCCTCCTATTTAGAATTTTCCATCCTCTCCTCCACACTTTCCAATCTCATTCCTTTATTTTACTTCATAGGAATTATTCTTGCTTAATAATATTCTTACCTTTTTTTTGAGAGACAGGGTGTCACTCTGTCACCCAAGCTGGGGTGCAGTGTTGTGATCATGGCTCACTGCAGTCTCCACCTCTTGGGTTCCAAGAGATCCTCCCTGCTCAGCCTCCCAAGTAGCTGAGACTACAGGCACACACCACCATGCCCAGCTAATTTTAAAATTTTTTTGTAGAGCTGGGTGTAGTGGCTCATGCTGTAATCCCAACACTTTGGGAGGCCAAAGCAGGCGGGTCACTGGAGATCAAGGGTTCAAGACCAGACTGGCCAACATGGTGAAATCCTATCTCTACTAAAAATATGAAAATTAGCTCAGTGTGGTGGTGTGGGCCTGTAGTCCCAGCTACTCGGGAGGCTGAGGCAGGAGAATCGCTTGAACCTGGGAGGTGGAGATTGCAATGAGCCAAGATTCACTACTGTACTCCATCCTGGGCTACAGAGTGAGACTCTGTCTCAAACAATAAATAAATAAATAAATAAATAAATTTTAGAGTCTCACTGTGTGTCACCCAGGCTGGAGTACAATAGCACAATCATAATTCATTGCAGCCTCAAACTCCTGGCCTCAAGCAATCCTCCTGCCTCAGCCTCCCAAAGCACTGGGATTATGGTCATGAGCCACTGTGCCTGGCCAATAATAGTCTTATCTAATATATAATTTTCATGCTTTTTTTTTAATATCTCTCTCTTTCCTGTTGAGTGGAAGGTCCAGGAGGAGGGCAGGAATTTTTGCATTCTTGTCTGTGTGGTTCACAGCAGTGTTTGCGGGTGCTTGGGGCATTGCCTGGCACAGAACCTGTGCCCACTAAATATTTGTTGAGTTATGAATTTATGGAGCACTCACTGTACCAGTAGTGGTCCAGGCCCTGTGACTAATTCTGGCCAAGGAACCTTTAAGGAGTTGACTTTTGTATTGTGATAAAGCATTAAACAAAAACCCCCAAAACAAATAATGCGACCCCAGCTAGGTGTGGTGTGGCTCTTCATTGCCAGGGATTTAGGAGGGCCTCTCCCAGCAGAGCAGTCTATGTTTGATCTGAGGCTTGAATAAGGAGGAGCCTTAGCCAGCTGTGTGCAAAGCTAGAGGAGAAGCATTCCTGGCAGAATCACAGCACATGCAAAGGCCCTGAGATGGGAGAGAAATTGACACGTAGGGGAAAAGTATGAATGAGCAAACGGGTGGGGTCAGGGCAACAGGAGGGTGTTCAGAGGGTAAACTGGAGCCAGATCTACCAGGCCTGGGGTGATTTTTTGAGCTTCAGTGCCATGGAGGAAATTTAATGGTGCCAGCCAGGTAAATCTTCTCCACAGTCCTCCTAGGTGGGAACTATTACTATCACTTGTTTATAGAAGGGTCCAGAGAGGCAAAGTTGCCTGCCCAAGGCCGCACAGCTAGTGAATGGATAAGGCAGGATTCAAATCCAGGCAGCCTGGCCTCAGAGTTATTGCTTCGAAGGTTTTCCTTCATCTGCTTCTCTGACGACACCAAGGCACCAGCCCAGATCCCAGTGAAACCTCAAGGGGGCTCAGAGAGTGTGTGAGGCCACCCCACTCCCCAGTCTGGTTCTGCCCTCCGCAAACCCAGCTGATGTGAACCATACCCATATATATGGTCCCATGGCCAGGGGCCCAGCACTTATCGTGTGGCCATAGCTGAAGCCATGTCAGCAGTAATCTGTGAGCACCTGCAGCCACTCCCCAGTCCAGCCCCAACCCCAAATCCAACACTCACCATAGTAAAATGGGTCAGGTTCCTCAGGAGCTGAGGGAAAGAAGCAGAGAAAAAGATAAAGAAAAAAAAAGTTGATTTTTTTTTCTCTTTTTTCTTTTTATTGTTTGAGATGGAGTCTTGCTCTGTTGCCAGGCTGGAGTGCAGTGGCACAATCTTGGCTCACTGCAACCTCCACCTCTTGGGTCCCCTGCCTCAGCCTCCCAAGTAGCTGGGACTACAGGCATGCACCACCTCGCCTGGTTAATTTTTTTTTTTTATTTTAGTAGAAACAGGGTTCCACCATATTGGCCAGGATGGTCTCAGTCTCCTGACCTCGTGATCCTCCCACTTTGGCCTCCCAAAGTACTGGGATTACAGGTGTAAGCCACTGTGCCCAGCCAACAGTGGATTTCTTAATTATTTTTGAGGATCCCGGTGGGACCACTGGGCCAATCATTTCTTTGTGGAAGTCAGATAGAGACCCCTTGCTTTGGATGATGTGGCCTCATGGCAGGCCACAAGGACAGAAGAGCGCAGCCCAAGCTGGATTCCAGCCCCCACTCACTCCATCAGTCAGCACCATTCTCTATGCAGTGCACAATCTACCCAACCGTACATGGCCGTCCTGGTTCTGGACCCCCATAGAGGTCTAATGCAAGCTATGGACTCATTCCCTGAAAAACACAGATGCACTTCCACTTGCACTTGACGCCACGACACTAAAACAGACCCCATTTCCACTGGTGGACCAATGAATGTCTCTGTTTCCCCTAAACACTCCCAAAACCTCTCAGTCTCCTGAGGGCTCCCACAGGCACCTGCTGCTTCTGCCGTCATCCACTCACTCCTGACACTCCACCCAGTACACATGAGCCGTGCTGATTCATACACCACATTATTTCGTTACTTATTTCTTTTTCTTTTCTTTTCTATTTTTTTTTTCTTCTTTTTGAGATAGGGTCTCGGTCTGTTGTCCAGGCTGGAGTGCAGCCAGGCGATCTCAGCACACTGCAACCTCCACCTCCTTGGTTCAAGTAATTCTCCTGCCTCAGCCTCCCAAGTGCTGAGATTTTAGGTGCGCACCACCAGTTCTGGCTAATTTTTGTATTTTTAGTAGAGATGGGGTTTCACCGTGTTGGCTGGGATAGTCTCAAACTCCTGACCTCAGGTGATCCGTCTGCCTCAGCTTCCCGAAGTGCTGGGATTACAGGTGTGAGCCACCATGCCCGGCCTATTATTACTTATTTCTAAGACATCATCAAGTTTAAGACTCAAAATTGAGCCAGGTGCAGTGGCTCACGCCTATAATCCCAGCACTTTGGGAGGCCGAGGCAGGTGGATCACAAGGTCAAGAGTTCGAGACCATACTGATCAAAATGGTGAAACCCCATCTCTACTAAAAATACAAACAATTAGCCGGGTGTGGTGGCACATGCCTGTAATCCTAGCTACATGGGTGGCTGAGGCAGGAGAATCACTTGAACCTGAGAGGCAGAGGTTGTAGTGAATCAAGATCGTGCCATTGCACTCCAGCCTGGGCAACAAGAGTAAAACTCTGTCTCAAAAATAAATAAATTTAATTAATTAATTAATTAAATTTTTAAAAGATTCAAAATTGAGTTTGTAATAGTTTTCTGTGTCTGTGGTGTGTGTGTGTGTGTGTGTGTGTGTGTGTGTGAGAATATGCTTGGAATTCTACCATGTGAAATGCTCCCATCCATTAGAAGACACATGCTGTTTTCAGAAACGTTCACATGTGGACAAAATGTGCATAATGTATGTGTGTCTCTGGATTCACTTTTCTCCATTCCCCACCTTCCTGGCCCTAATCACATTCTGCTGCGGAAGAGCTCAGAACACCCTTCCCATTCGACAAGTTCATCCTGATGGTTCTCAAATACCTCTGATAGTTCTTATTACATTTGGCCTTGCCTAGAGCAGAATTTGGCAGACTGTCTGTCACCTGGGGAGAGGGGAAGGGGTGCCAGGGTGATGCCTGATGTCATTTGTGTTCTTCTTCCCCCTTCCAGGTTGAGAGATGGATGGCTCCCTGGAGGTTGGGTAGAGCCATGTGACTAATTCTGGCTGAGGAACTGTGAGTAGAAGTGCACTGTCACTTCCAGGCTGGGGCGTTTAACATTCAGGAACATTCAGGCCACTAGGCCAAAGCTCTGTTTCACTTTTAGCCTGGTGGCCTGAATGTTCACGATGGTGACTGCTCTAGTTTTCTTTGGTGGCTGGTTAACTTGTGATGGACATATAGCTTAAGTGAGAAATGAACGCTGGTTGTCATAAGCCCCTGAGACTTTTGGTACTATTTGTTACTGCAGCATACTCTAGCTGAAACTGACTGATGGAGGAGGCCCCAAGCAAGACCATGATTCACACAATGTGTAGTTTAACCTTCCCAGTCTCTGTCCAGTCATTAAAAAGGATGTCTTAGGTTGGTGCTGAGGTATCTTTAACACCTTCCAACTCTTGTTAATCTCCCCCTTTATCTAAGAGAAAACAGGCCTTGGGCTCTAAGCCTTCAGCGGGCAATAAAATCGAGGCAGAATTTTGTGGCATTATTTAGTTTTCTCCTTTATTTATCGATGTAACCAGCAATGGATGGCACTGACTCCAGGCCCACCTCCCTGCTAAGCATCTGGTGGATATCAGTGCATTTATTCTTAATCTTCATAGCTACCCATAGCTACTTCACCCATAGCTACTTCATATGGGTGCTATCTTCATCCCCATTTCCCGGAAGGGGGACACTCGATCCAGAAAAGTGAAATCACCCGCTTCCGATTATTTGTATCCTGCCTTCAATTTAAGGCAAAGAGAAGATGAATTTTCTGGCCAGGTGCAGTGGCTCACGCCTGTAATCCCAGCCCTTTGGGAGGCCAAGGAGAGCAGATCACGAGGCCAGGAGTTCGAGACCAGCCTGGCCGATATGGTGAAACCCCATCACTACTAAAAATACAAAAATTAGCCAGGCATGGTGGCGCATGCCTGTAGTCCCAGCTACTTGGGAGGCTGAAGCAGGAGAATCACTTGAACCGGGAGGTAGAGGTTGCAGTGAGCCAAGATTGTGCCACAGCACTCTAGCCTGGGCAACAGAGTAAGACTCCATCTCAAAAAAAAAAAAAGAAGTAGATGAATTTTCCATTTGTGATAGTGCTATATAAAATAAAGTTCATTGTTTTTAAAAAGCTAATCCTGGGTTGGGCCTGGTGGCACACACCTGTGATCCTAAGCACTTTGGGAGGTCAAGTCAGGTGAAATGGTTAAGCCCAGGAGTTTGAGACCAGCCTGGGAAACATGGCGAAACCTGTCTCTGCAAAAAATACAAAAATTAGCTGGATGTAACGGTGAGCGTCTTGTAGTCCCAGCTACTCAGGAGGCTGAGGCAGGAGGATAGATTGAGCCCAGGCCATTGAGGCTGCAGTGAGCTATGATTGCGCCACTGTACTCCAGCCTGGGTGACAGAGTGAGACCCTGTCTCAAATAATTAAAACAAAAAAGTTATTCCTTTGAAGGAAAAAATTAGGTAAGTAGCAGTGTGAGGTAATATTTGAATAAAGCAAAAATTGTGATGGTAGTACTCTAAAGCGCCAAGATGGGCAAACCCTGTTTCAGGGTCCCTCGTGCTCTGTGTAAGTTTCCCCACCCGAGAGTGAGTAAATTTGTTTGACTCATCGCTGCTGTTCATCCTGACATTTATGAAAGGCTCTCCAAGTTTTCTGGGGTGAATGAATAAAGGAATGATTATAAGGCACTCTTAGGTTGCAGGAGACTGCAAAAGGTGGATTGTCTCACTTGTCTGCTGTTTTCCACACACCCACCCTTCCCTAAAGTTATTGGGAGCCCACTGGGTGAGCACCTGTCCCAGAAACTGGTGCTCCACGCAGAAGATCCTCCTTGGGTCCCTGCTGCCCCAGCAACCTGGGCTGTCAGGCGAGGCTGGGCTAAGGGTGGGGCCAGAAGTCAGGCAAAGGAATGTGCACTACTCCTGGCCAGCTGCCAAGGAGGTATCTGGAAGGAGGTGGTTACTATGGCAACTGGGGCATCTTGGGAGGTGAAGAGAGGTGATAGGTCCCAGCACCTCAGGCTGGGTGGGGTCCCCTGTAGGGTCCTGTGTGAGATGCAGGTTTCAATCTTGACCCCCTCTGCTCCTTTTGCACCTGCTGCTATTGCCTCTGCAGGACTGGCTTCTGGCCAAGCTGAGGGTCCGTTTCAGGCATAGGGACCCGGCCCCACCTGCATCCCTTTCTGTTCACCCCTAATTCTCCCTCCTGTTCTCTGGCAGGGTGGAGGAAGACAATCTCCCCTCTTCCCCCAATACTCCCCAACAATTCATTAATTAGTTTCCTTAAGCAGTTTGCAATGCACAACATGCTTTTCCTCCCCCGGGATTTCCCTGAGATCTGCGGTCCCCTCTCATGCTGTGACTGGGAAAGGGGGAGGCAGAGGAGGTGGGGTTGAGGAGTCTGTCCTCCCACCTCTGCCCGTCTGCTGCCATCGATCCTGCTAACCACCACCTCTGCAAAAAGAAGCCCTGGGCTCCTGCCAGGCCTGCTGCCTCAGCCCTGCCCCCTCTCCCTAGGGTGGTTTCCAGCCTCTGCAGCCCCCCCCACCCCCCGCCCTGCTTCGGATTCTGCAGATATGGCTCAGTGCAGCAGCCCCCGCCTGCTGGGAAGCGCGGAAGGGAGGGAGCCATAAGTGGGATTGGGGTTCCCTTCACTGCCAGGGGCTTCTCAGCACCATCGATCCATCCCCAGGCCCTGCCCTCAGTGCTAGAGACCCTGGCTGGGCACCTGCTCTCTCTTGAAGCAGTCTGTGCCTTGCCCCTCTGCAGAAGCAAGCTGAGCAATGGGGGTTATTAGGGGTAGACGGTGGAAGCGGGTGTTTAAGCGGGTGCATAACTGGGTTAATGGGTGTGGAATGGAAGTCAGTGTGCGGCTGGATGGGGGCAGTGGGGGCAGGCGGCTGGATGGGGGCAGTAGGGGCAGCTATGTGCACACCAAGTGCACCTCTGGGATTGGAACCCACCCCTGCTGCGGGCTGGGAAGGAAGGTCCCATCACCCATTTCCACCCATGGGGGTTCACTGCGGTGGTTTGGGCCCCACCCCACACTGACTGCTCCCTTCTTCTCTTTCTATTGCCCTCTTTCCCCATGGGTCCGTCTCTGCTTCTCTCTCCACAGCGGTCTCAATCCCACTATCTCCCAGCCTCTCATTTGCTCTCTCTGCATCTCTGGCTACTGCTCTCTGCCTTTCCCCTCCACTGAGAATCTCTCTGAGTCCCTCTATTTTTCTTCCTGGGTCTTTGTGTCTGTGTGACTCTGGATCTTCTGCCTTTCTTGGTCTCTGTCTCTTCCAGGTTCTCTCTGTCTCTTGAATATTTCTTCTCTGTCTCTTCCCTCAGCTCTCACTCCTTTCCTCTGAACCTGGCTCTTTCAGGAAACATATACCCCAGGAGACAGCACTGGAAAGAAGAGGGACATGGACCTCCTCCCCTTCCCTTGCCCACCCAGGGACCCTGAAATCTTCCAGAGAGTCTCTGGCCGCAGACCCACCCGCTCCCACCCTGCAAGCCCATCTCTTCCCGTCTGCTACCACCACGGTGCCGGACCAGCCACCCGGTTGCCATAGCGACCTGTCCGAGCATCCCTTCTCCCGGGACTGCCAATCTCCAACCGCAGGTCTGGCACAGGTCGCCCGCCGGGGAGAGGGTGCCCCAGAGACCCAGAAGGGTGAGCAGGGGGATGCAGTACAGGGGCCTCCGCCGGCAGGAGGAGCAGACCTCCCCCTCCCCACTCCCCTGCCTTACCATTGCTGGAATCTCCCAACACCCTCTCTCCTAGGCTTTCAGATCCCGGAGCCCCCCTACAACCCCCACCCCAGACGACGCTCACCCTTTGTGGGGGTCTGTGTCGGGGTCGCCATGCTCGGACGGAGCAGGGGGCTTCTGGATGCTTTGGCGACGAAGGCGCGCTGCAGCAGCTGGAAGCAGGACGGACCGATGTGGAGGGGAGCTGGGGGGAGCCCTGGCGTGGGGGGTGCCTGTAGCCAATGGGGGCCCGGGGAGCCCGCCCCCGTGCAGGCCACCCCCGCCCCCGCCCCCGCCCACCACTGTCGTCCCCGCCCCTTCCTCTAGGGTGGGGCGCCCCCTGCTGGGGTCCTGGAGCGCTGGGCTTTCGCGCTGAGGGACAGAGACCGACTAAACGCTGTCTAGAGGAATACACATTTTATTGGAAATCTGGGAGGCAGGGGGAGTCTGCAGGGGCAGGGCTGGGGAAGGGGCGGTGGAGGGGGCGGTGAGCGCGCAAGTGGAGCGTGGGAGACGTCAGGTGTCAGGGGAGTCCTGTGGGGGTGAAAAGGGTGAGAGGCGAGGGGGTACGTCCAGCCCCACCCCTCGCCTCCCTCCCACCCTGGCACTTGGCCCCCTCCCTGTCCCGCCCTTCCTTCCTCTCTCCTTCCCTCCTCCCGCCATGTCAGAGCTGCAGCACCTGGCCGGGTTCCATTGTGTCAGGTGTTTCTACCGCCTGCGAGTGGACAGACCTGGGGGGAACACGGAGGTCGGGGGGCAATTAGGAGGGGGATCCCCAGCTCTCGGGCAGGAGGGGCCCACGGCGGGGTAACTCCCTGCCCTCCGCTTTCAGATCCAGTCCCTCCCTCTATGCAACCCGGGAGGGCCAGGAAAAGGGGTCCTTGGAACCAGCCCCCTCCCCCTAAAACCCGCAGTCTCCCCAAACTCACGGCGGATGGAGCTGCGGAAAGTTCCCTCCTCTTCATCGGGTTCCCCAGTCCTGGGAAGACAGAAGCAAAGAGATTTCGGGATGGAAAGAGGGAGAGGCTGCCCTTCTAGGAACCACCCCCCCCAAGTACAAGCCTCCTTTCTCAGACTGGTGTAAGGAGGCCCAGATATGGACGAGAAGTAGGCCCGGGGTCCGCCAGAAGTGAGGAGCACCTAGGAGCAGCTTAAGTGCCTGGCAGGAGGCTTCCAAGCCGGTTAACAGTGAGTACCTCCGCGGATTTGGAGGCGGGGATACGAAGTTGGTAGGGGAGGGATGGTCAAGAGGATTTGGCAGACTGCCACGTGATGGCCTGGGTTGGAAACCCAGAACCCATCTTCCACTTGAGTGATCTTGAGCAAAGTGACTTTAACCTCCCTGTGCCTCAGTTTCCTCATCTGTAAAATGGAATTAATAACCTCACCTCCCTCCCAGAGGGAAGTGAAACAGTATCTGACACGTGGTACAACACCCAATAAATATTGGCTACTACTTATGATAATATCTATAATTGTCTAACATATTCAAACATTGTCCATGCTTTAACATTTTATTTGAAGATGAATCAAAGAGCTAGGAACAGGACTCCAAGCTAAACTGAGCCGCGTGTGAGATGATCTCATTTCACCGCCGTTCCTTCTTTCCTGCACTTCGTGTTATCACGATTTGTGATTTTCTATCTGTGGGCTGTTGGAATCCATGGCCACCGCCTCCACTAGCCTGGGAGCTCGGCCAGGAAGGGCGGGAGGTTTTTTCCTCGCTTGGGCCCATGGCCTGGCTTGGGCCAGGGCACGTAGTAGGTGCTTCAAACATAGTCGCTGATGGGGATCGGGCTGCGGTTCAGAGGGACTTGCCGCCTCACCTGCGGGGCCCTCCAGAGCGCGAGCGGGCTAGGGATGGCGGGGAGGAGCGTCTTACCTCTGCTGCTGGTTGAACTTGCACCGGCATCTTCTGCCTGTGGGCGTGGAGAGGTAGGAGAGGCTGAGGCTCCCTTCCGGCGGGCGCCACGCGGCGCTGTTGCTCCAGCTAGGCTTCGCGAGGGGCGGGGCTTCGGGGATGGGGCGGGGCTAGAGGCGGGACCGGGATCCTGGGCCAGGGAGCTGAGGCAGAGTAGGCGGGGCAAGGCCGGGGAGGGGCCGGAGCGGGGAGAGGCGGGGCCAGGGCGGGCCCGGGGAGAGGCGGGGCCAGGGACAGGCGGGGTAGAGGGCGGGGCCGGGAGATGGGCACTCACTGAGCACGATGAGGATACCCAGGATGAAGAGGATCCCAGCGATGATGAGGCCTCCGATCCGCAGGGACCGGTAGTCTGTGGGCGGCAGAGCAGGGAAGGTGAGGGCAGGGAGGAGAGGAGGGAGAATAGGAGAGAGGCACAATGGCGAGGAGGGGACAGGGAGAAAGGATCAGCAGGGAGGAGGGGAGAAATAAGATCAATTAAGGGGGAGCAGACATGGGAGGAGGAAAGCGGGGGACGAGGGAGAGGAGAGGGGTGTATAGGATGTATAGGAAAAGGAGGGGGGTAGGGAGGAGGGGAATAGAGCGGGAGAGAAGATGGGAAGAAGCAGAGGACGAGCCACGAAATGCTGATAGAGACCCAGGCAAAAGGAAGAGAACGGCTCACGCAGCGACACAGAGAGACACAGACAGGGGAAGATGTAGACAGAATCAGAGACGAAATACAAGACAGAGGGAAGGAGGAGGACAGAGATCTCAACGCTGGGACTCTGGGGGAGGGAGACAGGAACTGAAGGACCAGCAAAGCCAGGCTCTACCGCGAGACTCTCGAAGATAGACCCCTCTCACCGTAGGTGAACGGGTCGTGTTCCTTTGGACTTTCTGGAAAGAGAGAGAAATCAGGGGTTGAATGCTTCCTGGGGTCCCGGACAGGGAAGGGCATAAGGAGACCATTTGGGTGCTCTGCCTTGCTGGGCTGAGAGTATGAGGGTGTCTAGGCAGGCTGCCCACCCTCTCTGGGCTGCCCTGGCAGTCCCAGCTGCCCTCTCTGCACTGTTCCGGATGGGGCAGGGGGCACCTAACTGCCCCAGCTCCCTGACTCATGGCAGGCTGTCCGTGACCCAGTTATCCCACCAGGGATTCAGCCCCATCCCACCCAGCCTTTACCTGATCTGGGGCTTCCTCTCCCCTCCCCCAAATCACAGCCTGTGACTGAAACCCATGTGGAGACCCCCAAACTTCTTAGTACCCAGCTAACTCAGTCTAGGTTGGGGTCTCCAACTTGGTTCTTTCTGGGGGTTTGGTCCCCGCCGCCACCCCTGGGGCCGAGGTGGGTGGCAGGCAGCCTCCCTTACACTTACCTGCTTTGGCCATGGTGAGGAGACCCACACAGAAAACCAAGATGTGGCCAAGAGACACCATTATCCTGGGGGAGACACTACCGGTCAGGCAGTGTGTGCCCTGGCCCCCCAACATAGGGCCTGAACCCAAGGGATTAAGTTAGAGACAGTCCAGGGACTGAATCAGAAGTGTTTGTTCTCTCACTTGGTGGCTCCGAGGAACAGGGGTATCCCAAGCTTCATGGGGACACAGTGTCAACAAAACAACCTCCACAATGAGAGTCACACAACAACACAACGTAGAGGGACAGGAGTGAGACACACAGTTCCCAGGGTCCTCCCTTGGGACTCCACCTCCCGCAGCAGGCCCCCGGTTCCCAAACCTACCCTGGCAGGGGGACAGGAGGAGCCGGCTCACACAGACACAGAGCAGGAGACAGCAGGGCACGCCCAGGTCCCACCTGCTTGCACACCCGGCCTCACTGCACCCCTCGGAATCCCAGCGCCCTGCCCTCTCCACCCGCCCGCTCCCGGCCTAACCCCGGGTATAAATATCTCCCACTTCACTCTGGAGGAATTCGGCTCGCTCAAGCCACCATAGCAACAGCCAGACTTCCCCCACTCGGGGGGTCACGCACAGCCCTGCCGGGGTAAGGCCCGGCTGCCACATCGCCACAGGCTGCCCTTCCCGTCTCCTCCCTGGGCAGCAAGGAGAAAAGGAAAAGACGGCCTCTCTGCCCGCCTCTGGGTGACATCTTTCACAATCGGATGTCAGGCAAGTGACAAGAGGCACAGGCAAGTGGGCCTGAGAGATAGAAGACACATGCCGGGGCAGGGCTGCACACACACACACACACACACACACACACGCACGCACGCGCGCACACACTGGGGCCGGAATGGACATGAGACAACAACCTCTCCCCAAACTTCTGGTTGGAGCAGGACGTGGGGTGTAAACACCGTCAGTCTTCCAGTCCTCCTCCTCTGGGCCTCTGGTGCCCCCAAACAGTGACGCAACCAGCCCTGCACACGTGCGTGTCCAAATTCCACACCCTGCCAGGGTACACGCACACCAGCAGGGCAGGGAGGAGTTGCCCACACTCCCACCCTGCAGAACCCAATGCCCCAAACACACTCCCTCCCTCTTGGGTTGGCCTGCCTGGGAAGCCTGGGGCTGGCCACTCCTGCTCCCAAAATAGGAAGCCCAGCCAGGCCAGGGGTGAGGCCTGGAAGGGAGGAGTGGGGGACGCTCACCCCAGTCAGGCTGTCCCCTGCTGAAAGGAGGCCCCCAAAAGTCCTGCTGTGCCCTGGGGGCTGAGCACTTTGGACCCCCTGGCCCAGAGCTGGACGCGCCGCCCCCAGCAAGCTCCCCTCCCAGCCCCACCCCACCCTTGCCCTCCCCAACCAGCAGCTGTAACTGGAGCTGGGGCTGGAGGGGGGCCAGGGGGCGGCCCCCAGCCCAGACCGCCCTGGCCTGCTAGGTTAACTCTCTCAGCTCAGATGGAGGAGTAACCGGCAGCCAGCAAGCAGGCTGGAGAGGCCAGGAGGATTGTGGACAGAGTTGTGAACATACACACACACACACACACACACACACACACACACACACACCTTTGAGAACTTCTTGGCTAAGGCGGCTGTCCCCTGGAAACTGGGCCCAGCCAGGGCCTAAGGTCACCCAGCCTGACTACCCAGGAGCCCACTGACTTCTGACCCCAGTGCTCTAAGGGGTCCTTAACAGGGCTATTTTAGGGGGTGGGAGGGAGGGGAGTGTGTGTGTGTGTGTGTGTGTGTGTGTTCCTGTGTGCGGGCATACTATCTGCTGCGGTGAGATCCCCAGCAATGCACACCACACACACACACACACACACACACACACACACGGAATGCCAAAGACCCAGATACACAGGTACAAAACCAGGCAAAACCACATATGTATGTACATCCACAGAGGCAGACACACACAGAATGACACACCAAAGACCCGGACACAGCCAGCACCTCTTCTGCCAGTTACAAAATACCGAAACAAGCATGTTTATGTCTACACAGACCCAGGCACACTCATGCAGATGGATGGCCATACAGAGACACTGTCAAACACACAGCCATGCCACCATCCACACTCACAAAGTGGCCTTAAATATGCATCTCGCTATGGAGACCCACCCACAAATGGCCACACAGAGACACACAAATATGCGCACATTGCACGTAAATGCAGTCAAAGATACTAACATGCCAGGGTGCGGTGGCTCACAGCTGTACTCCCAGCACTTTGGGAGGCCAAGGCAGGCAGATCACTTGAGGCCAGGAGTTTAACACCAGCCTGGCTAACCTGGCAAAAACTCATCTCTACTAAAAAATATATAATACAAAAATTAGCCGGGCATGGTGGCATGTGCCTGTAATCACGGCTGCTCTGGAGGCTGAGGCAGGAGAACCACTTGAGCCCAGGTGTCGGAGGTTGCAGTGAGCTGAGATCACACCACTGCACTCCAGCCTGGACGACAGAGCAAGACTCTGTCTCAAAAACTAAAACAAAGGGACAACAACAAAAAAAAACCCCAAAGGTATAGACATGCGGCCAGCATGCCTACGCAGCCCCAAAGATAGCAGGCCACAAGCTGTGTACACACAGACAGATCTCCATAGACACAGACACACAAGCAGAAACACAGGACAACCTGCCGCTCTCACACATACCCACAAAAGCAGAAACACACACACTTGTTCACACCCTGTGCTTGGGTGAACGGGCACATGGCTGGCCACGGTGACAGACACGCGGGCTGACACATTTGTATGTTCACACGTTCCAAAACCACAGATATGTATTTGACCCCACGCTTTCCTTCCCCTGAGCTCTTGTCAGGGACGGCACACCTGGCGTCCCCATGGGCAGGCCAGGTTTATAGGTCCTGGTGACGGAGACCTGGAATCAGGCCTGGGCACTGCACTCCTGGTTATGTGAACATGAGCAGCCCTGTGACCTGTGCCTCATTTTCTCATGCTCCAAAATGGAAAAATCACCAAGGTCACATGTGTAATCCTGGGCAGTGTTCAGAGGTCTCTGAACTTGACATTGTCTTATCATTAACTCCATTTTTTGTTTGTTTGCTTGAGACAGGGTCTTGCTGTCACCCAGGCTGAAGTGCAATGGCACAATTCTTAGCTCACTGTAGCCTCAAACTCCCTGGCTCAAGTGATTCTCCCACCTCAGCTTCCCGAGTAGCTGAGACTACAAGGGTTCCACACCGTGCCTGGCTAATTTTTTTTTTTATACAGTCGGGGTTTCACTATGTTGCCCAGGCTGGTCTTGAACTCATAGCCTCAATCGATCCTCCCACTTCAGCCTGCCAAAGTGCTGGGATTATAGACGTGAGCCACCATGCCCGGCCCATTATTATTGTCCTTGTCATCCTTCTCCTTGTGAACTGGAGTGAGGAGGCTGCTGGGCTGGGCACGCTATGAGAATGAGTTCAGACCCCTCTGTGTCCCTGGCACTCAGCTCTCCAACTTCACTTTCAGGGACCCTGTTTATCATACCCGAAAGTCAGGGGAGGAAGCCAAGAGCTGAAAGGCGTGGCTCAAACCACAAGCTGCTGGGGTCTGCTCCTCTAGGACCTGGATCCGGAGCCCACCCCAAAGCCTGCTGACCACTGTGGGATGCCCACCGGGGCTGAACCCCAAAAGGATGAGGTGCCTCCATCACCTGAGTCCTCTCCACAGCTGGGAAGTGGGTGCCACAATTGCCCCCATTTGACAGATGGGAAAACTGAGGCTGCACAGGACTGGGCCTGGAACCCAGATCTGTGTGACCTCCGAGCTAGTGCTGTTAAGCCCCGTTATCCTCCAACAAGGCTTTGGGCGTGGGCACCGTTTTGAGCAAGGCTGCCTGCATTCCTCAATCACGGGGCGAGTCTTGTCCCCAGGTGATAGGTGGTACAGCCTAGGGATTAGGTTTACAGCTGATGAGAGCCAGGAAACAAATCACATAACTTCCCTGTACCTCAGTTTCCACACCAGTACTGCCCATCTCACAGGGTGGCTGTGAAGACTGAGTAGATTGCCACCTAGTCCCAGCTGAATAAACATTACTACTATTTCATGTTGGCTAACAAGTGTCATTTACTTATTTTTCTTATTTAGTGGACAGATTCTATCCAAATGACTAAAAGCTTAGTCCAGATTAAAACAACCAATTATCCATCTATCCATGAACTCTGATCTCCAAAGAAAGAATGCAAAATAACCTGGAGTGGCCCTGGAGCCGATGCCTGGGTTTGAATCCTGGCTGTGCCCCCAGCTGGGTAGCCTCAAGTTCAGGTTCTTTGACCTCTGTCTCCACTTCCTCCTGCTTTATAGAGGTGATGGTAACAGCACCAACCTCAGAGGGCTGCGGCAAGATCGGAACGAGTTAATATGTGAGTTTTTAGGACAAGGCCAGGAGCAGAGTAGACGCTGAAGAAGGAGTGGCGTGATCATCATCTTCACCATCATCATCATCATCATTATCATGTCCTTGGGTTGGTGCCGCCCCCCAGTGGGTGTTGAGCACTTGAGGGTTAATTTCAGGGTAGGGGAGGGAGGCTGTGGGCTTGGGGCCAGGCAGAAGTCCTGCCAAGTGTGACCACCAGAGGGAGCAGCTGGACCTGAACTGGCCCCACTGACAGCGCCCAAGGCACCCTCCTGGAGCCAGAGGAGGGGGCTGGCAGAGAGTGGCCAGGACGGGATGTCCCCAGCCCCCAGTGGCCTCTCCTCCCACCCAGCCCCGGTCTGCAGAGCCATCCGGTCCCCACCCTGGTGACATCCTCCTCCTGCTCCCTCAATAGGGTCGAGTGGGGAATCTTGGGGAGGGGGCTGGCGGGAGTGGCGGGGCGGCTCCAGCCCTTGATGGCCCCTCCCCCTCCTGTGGAGCCGTCCAGTCCCTTCCCCAAGGCCGACCTTCCCATGGCCTCTGACCCCCTCCTCCTCCCCACCCTACTCTGCCGGGCGCACCGGGTGACCAGCGAACCCCATTCCCAAACCTTCAAGGAGCAGGGACGTGGGAGGAGGCAAAAAAACTACAGGCAGGGAGCTGGAAGGGGGGTGGGGGGGCAGGAGACAAGAAATCAAGACACCCAGCAGCGGGACACACACACACACACACACACACACACACACACACACACGCACACATACACACAGAGGCCAACAGACAGCTACCTAAAGCCCGAAAGACGGACAGCAACACAGAAAAAGAACGAGAGACAAAGACAGAAATAGAAACAGACTAACACGCAGAGTCAGAAACATAGCGACAGAAAGCCAGGGAAAAAGAGAAAATTAGACACCAGGGAGATACGAACAGGGAGAGAGACCAACCGAAAGAAAGACGGAGAAGAGGAGAGAGAAGCCAGGGCCCAGCGTGCCAGCAGGCGGATGGAGGGCGGCCTGGCAGAGGAGACATAGTGGCCTGGGCTGAGCTGGGTGGGCCGGGAGAAGCGGGTGCCTCAGCAAGGGGGTGGGGGCATGGGAGGGGCAGGCATTCTGCTGCTGCTGCTGCTGGCTGGGGCGGGGGCGGTGGTGGCCTGGAGACCCCCAAAGGGAAAGTGTCCCCTGCGCTGCTCCTGCTCCAAAGACAGTGCCCTGTGTGAGGGCTCCCCGGACCTGCCCGTCAGCTTCTCTCCGACCCTGCTGTCACTGTGAGTGTCCGGCCCTCTGCCTGAAAGTAGGGATGGAAGTCCTGGGACCCCAGAGGTTGAGATGTGGTGCTGAGTCCCCAGAGAAACAGGGGCCCATCAATATCTCGGGAGATGGGCAGCAGAGGCTGTCGGGATGCCTTGCAGAGAGGGCTGCTCGCATCTGGGAGGAAGCCGAGGGAAGCCCCAGAGGCCAGGGACAGGATTTGGGGCCCGGGAGAAAGGTTGAGTGCTGTCAGGGTCCTTGTCAAGCCAAGAAGGCAAATGCCTGCCTCCCCTGGCATGTGGGGCAGACACACCTAGGGTCAGGGTGGCACACTGGGGTGTCCCGAATGGCAGAAGGCTCTGGTTTGGGACTGGAGCATTGCTGTGGTATCCCCTTCACCTACCATGGCCACCTCTCCAGCTCCCTCGTCAGGACTGGAGTCACCCAGCTGAAGGCCGGCAGCTTCCTGAGAATTCCATCTCTGCACCTGCTGTGAGTGGGGCTGGCTGGGCCGACGACCAGCTCAAGGGAGTGGGCATTCGTGCGCATGTGTGGGAGTGTGGGCTTACACAGGTGTCAGGTGGGCGTTCATGCATGTGTGTGGGGGTGTGCATACACGTGTGTGCAAGAGCATTTGTGTCCCTGCACATACTCACACCTGCTGCCACGTGCGTGTGCCCATGCCTGTGTGGGCTGAGGGTGGAGGCCAGGGTTGAAATATCTGCAGCAGCTCTGGAAGATTTTCTTTCTTGCCCCCCTGCCAGCCTCCTCACCTCCAACTCCTTCTCCGTGATTGAGGACGACGCGTTTGCAGGCCTGTCCCACCTGCAGTACCTGTGAGTGAGGCCAGGGGATGGAGGCAGGTGGGCCTGGGAGATGGAGATGGGAGCTGTGGTCCTGAAGAGAATGTCTTTGGACATCCTAGTAGGAGGATGTTGATAAAAATGGCAAACCCAGTGGTGACGATGCTTTGGGCGATATTGGTGAAGTTCTCAGGGCTGGTGTCAATGAGGCTTATCAGTGTTGATTATCACCTAACTTCTCTGCTTCAAGATCTACAAAGGGCCCGGATAACCAGATCCTGATTCTGGCTCTACGTGACTTGTGGGAGCCCAGGGAGGGTGTAAAGAAGTCAGAGACAAGAAACATATCAAGGGGCCGGGTGCGGTGGCTCATACATGTAATCTCAGCACTTTGGGAGGCCGAGGCGGGTTGATCATCTGAAGTCAGGAATTCGAGACCAGCATGACCAACATGGGGAAACCCCATCTCTACTAAAAATACAAAAAATTAGCAGGGCGTGGTGGTAGGCGCCTGTAATCCCAGCTACTTGGGAAGCTGAGGCAGGAGAGTCACTTGAACCTGGGGGGCGGAGGTTGTGGGGAGCCGAGATTGCGTCATTGCACTTCAGCCTGGGCAACAAGAGCAAAACTCCAAAACATTTCAAATGACCAGGAAACAACTCTGAACTAGGTGGTGGTGGTGGTGGTGATACTATGGTGGTGTTGAGGGTGGTGCTGAGGGTTGGGTAGTGGTGGTGATGGTGGTAGCAGTGGCAGTGACGACATGACAATGCTGGCACTGGTGTTGGTCATGGCATTGATGATAATGGCAGTGGTGATGATCCCGTTGCTGCTGCTGATGTGGGGTTGGTGGCATTATTGATGTTGATGGAGTGGGGATGATGTTGGTAAGAATGGCAGCCCCAGTGGTGATGATGCTATGGATGAAGTGGATGTGGGAGCCGTGGTGGCTCTCGAGTTGTCTTGGCGCTTGAGGAGGCGAGGCTATGTGTTCGAGGCCAGCCTGAGCAACATAGGAACCTCTCATTCATTAAAAAAAGAAAAAGAAGAAATGGATGATGAAGTTCTTGGGGCTTGTGTCCCTGACAATTCTGAGTGTTGTGGGGGTTGGTGAGTACAGTATTGGTGTTAGTGTTGGTGATGGCTGTGGGTAGGATGCTGTGGGCAGTGTTGTTGGCACTGAGTTGGTGATGATGGTGAAGGTGTTGGTATTTATGGAAACCAGCAGCAGTGGTACTGGCGGTGGGTGAACATGTGCATCTTGAGCACAGTGGAGGGGTTGCTGGTGTTGGCAGTGCTGGTGGTGCTCATGCAGATGTGTGAGAGCGCAGCAGTGAAGATGAGGGTGTGAGTCTTTCTGGTATTGGGCATGAAGGTTGTGTTGTTGGTGAAGATGATCAGTGTTGGTGGGGTAGAGTTTGGTAGTGATGATATCGGTGTTGGGCTAGAGCTTGGTAGTGATGATATTGGTGTTGGTGTTGATGGGAGTGGGTGGTGATGGTCATATTGGTGACGATGATGCTAGTGTTGGTGATGACAGTGACAAGGTATGGTGTTGGGGATAATGGCAGTTATTGGTCCCAGGTTGAAGATGGTGGTAGAGACATGGGTGTGGGGATGCCAGCACTGGTGATGATCATTACGGATGATGCTGGAGGTAACGTGGTGATGTGGGCGTTGGCACTGGTGATGGTGTTGGTGGTGGTGGTGGCAGAGCAGTGTGCACAGTGAAACTGGCAATGACTATAGGGCCAGCTTCATGGCTCCTAGAATTGACAGCTGGGACCTTGGCAAGGAGAGGTTTCTAAGATGCTTACCCTGGGATTGTTCATGATATTGGAAGAGAATTCAGCACCTTCCAGTGGGCCTTTGTCTTTCATGGGGTGCATTCCCTGAAGCTCAGTGGGCCTCCCCATCACCCCAGCTTCCCTCCACAGCTTCATCGAGGACAATGAGATTGGCTCCATCTCTAAGAACGCCCTCAGAGGACTTCGCTCACTCACACACCTGTGCGTGCCTCCACCGCCCCAGCCCTCCATGACAGGCACCCACGCTCCACCACCCGGGGGACACAGAGTATGCTGGTGGCAGCTGACGGTGCCTTCTCTTCCTCTACCAGAAGCCTGGCTAATAACCATCTGGAGGCCCTCCCCAGATTCCTGTTCCGAGGCTTGGAGACCCTTACTCACGTGTGAGGCTCATGGGGGCTGGGAGTGTGGGGGTTGGGGAATGTTTGTGTCAGGGAGGGGAATCCATGCCCACTACTGGTTGGCATGCATGTGTTTGGCTGCGACGGTTCTTACATACTTTTCTTACCACGATGGGGCACCATCTCTGGGACACTTGCCTGGGGAGGGGGCCGGAGCACGGCCCCCAGGGCTGGGTTGCAGCCCCTCAGCGACCTCTTGCCCCAGGGACCTCCGCGGGAACCCGTTCCAGTGTGACTGCCGCATCCTCTGGCTCCTGCAGTGGATGCCCACCATGAACGCCAGTGTGGGGACTGGCGCCTGTGCAGGCCCCGCCGCCCTGAGCCACATGCAGATCCGCCACCTCGACCCCAAGACCTTCAAGTGCAGAGCCATAGGTGGGGGGCTTTCCCCATGGGGCGGGAGGCGGGAGACCAGGGGGAATGGCTGCCTCACTCCCCGCCCTGCCGATTCCTGCCGCGGGGAGACCCTGAGCAAGCAGAAGCACCTTCCTGAGCCCCAGTTTTCTCATCTGTAAAGTGGGGGTAATAAACCCTGACACAGGAGTGCCGTGGGAATTCAAGGATACGTCCTTGCCTGTTCGGCATTTGGCGCCGGGCCTAGGACAGAAGGCCGTTATACGTTCACCCTTGTTAACATAAAAGCAACCACTTTAAGAATTCTTCGTTACGTGCCAAGCTTTATTGTAAGAACTGCAGGTGCGAAGTCACCTCACTTACATTAACTCACCTTTCTTTTTCTTTCTTTCTTTCTTTTCTTTTTGAGAGAGTGTTGCCCAGGCTGGAGTGCAGTGGCGTGATCTGGGCTCACCACAACCTCCGCCTCCTGGGTTCAAGCGATTCTCCTGCCTCAGCCTCCCAAGTAGCTGGGATTATAGGCACACACCACCACGCCTGGCTAATTTTGTATTTTTAGTAGAGACAGGGTTTCACCATGTTGGTCAAGCTGGTATCAAACTCCTTACCTCAGGTGATCCGCCTGCTTCGGCTGAGATTACAGGTGTGAGCCACCGCGCCTGGCTGACTTGCCTTTTCTATAAATAGATTTTGGTGCCTTTTGGGATACTAGGCAGTGCAGAAAGCATGATGAGGCCAGCTCTGGGTCTCGCCCTCAAAGAGTTAAATGACCAAAGGAAGGCAGGCCCAGACAGGACAGCCCAGGACGATCTGGGCAGGGATGGGGGAAGCCATGGGAGCTGAGGGAGCCCAGAGTCAGGGCCAGGGCCACACAGAGCTGGGGGACAGGAAGGAGTTTAAGCCTGAAGGGTCTTTACACAGATGCTTTTCTTTTCTGAGTTGGGATCTCACTCTGTCACCCAGGCTGGAATGCAGTGGCGCCATCATAGCTCACTGCAGCCTCAAACTCCTGGGCTCAAGCGATCCTCCTGCCTCAACCTGCCAAATAGTGGGGACTACAGGCACATGCTACTGTGCTCAGCTAATATTGTTTAAAAAACTTTTTCATAGGCCAGGCACGGTGGCTCAAGCCTGTAATCCCAGCACTTTGGGAGGCCGAGGTGGGTGGATCACAAGGTCAAGAGATCGAGACCATCCTGGTCAACATGGTGAAACCCCGTCTCTACTAAAAATACAAAAAATTAGCTGGGCATGGTGGTGCATGCCTGTAGTCCCAGCTACTCAGGAGGCTGAGGCAGGAGAATTGCCTGAACCCAGGAGGCAGAGGTTGCGGAGAGCCGAGATCGCGCCATTGCACTCCAGCCTGGGTAACAAGAGTGAAACTCCGTCTCAAAAAAAAAAAAAAAAAAAAAAAAAAAAAAAACTTTTTTGTAGAGAAAGGGTCTTCCTATGTTGCCCAGGCTGGTCTTGAACTTCTGGCTTCAAGTGATCTTTCCACCTCAGCCTCCAAAAGTGCTGGGATACCAAGCATTCGCCACTGCACCTGGCCACAGATGCAACGAATACAATAACAACAATTGTTATTATCTATAACAATATACATATATAATTATTATCGACATATAATTATTATTATTCTAAGTGTAAGAAAGACATGTTTTTGGTCTGTGGGACACACAGAAGAAGGAGACCTAACTTAGGGAGTCCCTCTTCATTCAAGTTATCCAACAAACGTTCACTAACATTCACGCATGCCCAGCCCTGTGAGAGGTTAGGGTCACTGTGGTTGGGGCCTGAGCCCTGGCCTTATGGGACTTACTGTCCTGGGAATTTGGGGAGACAGACATTTAAAAAGCATAGTACAGGCTGAGCACAGTGGCTCATGCCTGTAATCCCAGCACTTTGGGAGGCTGAGGTGGGCAGATCACCTGAGGTCAGGAGTTCAAGACCAGCCTGGCCAAGATGGTGAAACCCTGTCTCTACTAAGAATACAAAAAGTAGCCGGGCACAATGGCGGGCGCCTGTAATCCCAGATACTCAGGAGGCTGGGGCAGGAGAATTGATTGAATCTGAGAGGCAGAGGTTGCAGTGAGCCGAGATCGTGCCACTACACTCCAGCCTGGGCAGCAAGAGTGAAACTATGTCTCCAAAAAAAAAAAAAAAATTGCACAGGTAAATGTGTGCTATACATTGTGATAACTACAGGGAATGATAAGACAAGGGAGGTTCCTGAGAGTCAGAGAAGGCTTCTCTGAAGTGGGGACATTAGGTCTCAATGTGGCTAAGTGAGGAACAAAGGGAAGGGCTCTTCAGAGAGAAGGAACAGCCTGGCAGGTGGCCCTGAGGCAGCATAGAGCTTGCCCTGTTTGAAGATCAAAAGAAGGCAGGTGTGGCTTAGGGGTGGTGAGTGAGGAACAGCTATGGATTTTGGAAACCACAGAGAGGAGAGCAGACTTTATTCTGGGCCATGGGAGGAATGGAGAGTTGGTTTTTTTTTTTTTCATTTGTTTATTTGAACCGGGTCTCACTCTGTCACCCAGGCTGAAGTACGGTGGCACAATCACCACTTACTGAGACCTTGACCTCCCCAGGCTCAGGTGATCCTCCTGACTCAGCCTCCCTGGTGGCGGGGACCGTAGGTGTGCCACCATCGTGCCCTGCTTATTTTTTGTAGAGATGGGGGTTTCACCATGTTGTCCAGGCTGCTCTCGGACTCCTGGGCTCTATTGATCCACCTGCTTTGGCTTCCCAAAGTGTTGGGATTAAAGGCGTGAGCCACCACTCTTGGCTGAGAGTTTTGAGCAGGTGATTTGACAGCCATTTTAAAAAGATTCGCCCTTTAGGTGGGCATTATAGGCATTATAGGTAGTTTGGCTCATTGCTTCGACACTGGCACCTGGAAACAGGGCCTGGCACGCAGAGTGAAATATTACAGCCTGGAGTTGACTGCCCAGCTCCCCCACTAACAAGCAGAGTAGCCTTGGTGCCCCAGTAACCACAGAAGCCAGCTCGAAATCACACACTCTCAAAATACCATGGATTAAGGATGGAGGGGTCTGGAGCAAGCTGTCCAGGTGTGCAGGGCAGCCCCTGGGCATCGTCCTTGCCTTCATGTTTGAAGCCAGTGTGGGAAAGGAGACCAAGTCGGGACAAGCCGTTTCCAGGCGTAGTGGCTCACTGCACTCATCACACCTGCCTTTGTTCCACTGGTCGCTCAGTCTCAAAACAGCCACATCTAACTTCCAGGGAGGGCGGTGAATGGAGGTCCAGGAGAAAGCAGCCTCTAGCTGGGTGGCCTGGTGACCACTCAGTCCTGTCTCCTGGAAGGTGAGAAGGACAGATTTTGTTGGATAACTGGCTGCCTGTGCCATTTAGCCTTCGCTTTCTCATCTGTAAAGGGGAGATCATAACAGACTGTACCTCAGAGGGATGTTGTGAAGTTAAATGAATTAACTGAGATGCTGTTTCTAAGGGATTATTTGGTGATGCCACAGAGCTTAGAAAATAAAGCTTATCATGCCGTTGTGAGTTAATATGTCTATAGTCAGGTGTGGTGGCTCATGCCTGTAATCCCAGCACTTTGGGAGGTCAGGCAGGAGGATCTCTTGAGCCTAGGAATTCTAGGCCAGCCTGGGCAACATAGCAAGACCCCATCTCTACAAAAAATAAAAAATTAGGCAGGCATGGTAGTACATGGCTGTAGTCTCAGCAGCTCAGGAGGCTGAGGTGGGAGGATTCCTTGAGCCTGGAAGGGGGAGGCTGCAGTGAGCTATGATTGTGCCACTGCACTCCAGCCTGGGGGGACATAGTGAGACCCTGTCTCAAAACAAAAAGAAACACCCCCCCAAACCAAACAAACATCTTCAGATCAAGATTCCAGTTCTACGACCCTATGAGGGGAGTATCATGAATGGCCCCATTTCAGAGATGTGCAAACTGAGGCTGAGCCATGAGGACCCTGGGGGCCCTCCCGGGGCCTGCCTGACTCTTTCCTCCACCCCCAGAGCTGTCCTGGTTCCAGACGGTCGGGGAGTCGGCGCTGAGCGTAGAGCTCTTCTCCTACCAGGGGGAGCCTCACATCGTGCTGGCACAGCCCTTCGCCGGCCGCTGCCTGATCCTGTCCTGGGACTACAGCCTGCAGCGCTTCCGGCCAGAGGAAGAGCTGCCCGGTGAGCCCCTCCCCGTCCTTCCGCCTGCCCAGCAGCCTGCCTGGCCGGCCTGACCTGCCTCTCCGCCTCCCACCTCCCCACAGCGCCCTCCGTGGTGTCCTGCAAGCCGCTGGTGCTGGGCCCCAGCCTCCTGGTGCTGGCTGCCCGCCTGTGGGGGGGCTCCCAGCTGTGGGCCCGGCCCAGCCCCGGCCTGCGCCTGGCCGCGACGCAGACCCTGGCCCCGAGGCGGCTGCTGCGGCCCAATGACGCCGAGCTCCTGTGGCTGGAAGGGCAGCCCTGCTTCGTGGTGGCCGACGCCTCCAAGGCGGGCAGCACCACGCTGCTGTGCCGCGACGGGCCCGGCTTTTACCCGCACCAGAGCCTGCACGCCTGGCACCGGGACACGGACGCCGAGGCCCTGGAGCTGGACGGCCGGCCCCATCTGCTGCTGGCCTCAGCCTCCCAGCGGCCCGTGCTCTTCCACTGGACCGGTGGCCGCTTCGAGAGACGCACGGACATCCCTGAGGCGGAGGATGTCTATGCCACACGCCACTTCCAGGCTGGTGGGGACGTGTTCCTGTGCCTCACACGCTACATTGGGGACTCCATGGTGAGGCTGGGCCTGGGGGAGGTGGGGGCACAGCCAGGCCTGACGCTGCAGCTGACTCCCATTGAGAGTTGGCTTCTTTTCTTTCTTTCTTTCTTTCTTTCTCTTTCTTTCTTCCTTTTGTTCTTTCTTTCTTTTTGAGACGGGAGTCTGGCTCTGTTGCCAGGCTAGAGTGCAGTGGCACGATCTCGGCTCATCTTTGCATCCTGGGTTCAAGCCATTCTCCTGCCTCAGCTTCCCAAGTAGCTGGGAATTACGGGCGCATACCACGATGCCCAGCTAAATTTTTGTATTTTTAGTAGAGACAAGGTTTCACCATGTTGGCCAAGATGGTCTCGATCTCTTGACCTTGTGATCCACCCACCTCCGCCTCCCAACGTGCTGAGATTACAGGCGTGAGCTACCGAGCCCCGCCTCGAGGGCTGGCTTTTCAGCCCTTACCCAGTCTTGCACACTAAGCCTCTAAACTCTGACCTAGCCTCACATGCCGACCTTTGAGCCAGGACCCCACCCCACACTGATGCCAAGACTGTGACCCCCTCAAAGCTGGCTGACTCTAAACCACTCCCCAGTCCCCGACAGTGATGCTGGCCCCAACGTCCTGATTCTACCCCCAGATGCTGGCTCTGTGACTCAGATGCATTCCAGACTTCACAGCCACACCCATCCCCACCCTGACACTGAGCCCCCCCCCAGGTTCACACTGGGGTTAAGCCCTACCCACTCTCTTTCTGGAGTGAGGCACAGGCAGGGGATGGTTCTGAGCCTGGAAGGGCCCTGATCTGACTCAGGTGTTCACAGGGTGGTGAACACTCAGGGAGCAGGGAGAGGAGCCTAGAGACCAGGAAAGAGGCCGCCAGGATGGTCCAGTTGGGAGGGGATGGAGTGCTGCCAGAGGTGGTGGGAGAAATGTCCAACTATAGTAGGTGAAACTGAGAGTCCATGGCTGAGTGCTTCTGTGCGGGGTGTGAGGGCAAGAGAAGGGCTCAGAACAACTCCGCGTGTGTGGCTGAACGGCTGGGTTGTGACCTTTATGAAGATAAGAAAGCTGTGGGAGTTTGGGGGCCTACAGGCTTCTGCTTCCAAGCTATTCCAGGGCCCCCAGAGCCCCCCGGGGACCCCAGGCTCTCACCGGCCACACCCCCACAGGTCATGCGCTGGGACGGCTCCATGTTTCGTCTGCTGCAGCAACTTCCCTCGAGAGGTGCCCATGTCTTCCAGCCCCTGCTCATCGCCAGGGACCAGCTGGCCATCCTGGGCAGTGACTTCGCCTTCAGCCAGGTCCTCCGCCTTGAGCCTGACAAGGGGCTCCTGGAGCCACTGCAGGAGCTGGGGCCCCCGGCCCTGGTGGCCCCCCGTGCCTTTACCCACGTCACCATCGCCGGCAGACGCTTCCTCTTTGCTGCTTGCTTTAAGGGCCCCACCCAGATCTACCAGCATCACGAGATCGACCTCAGTGCTTGAGACCCCCAACGGGACTCTGGGCATGGCTGGGGCCCCTAGACGGCCCCTTGGCTGGTTCCCGGCCCCACCTGGGGTGGCGGCTTGCCTGTCAGCTGCTGACCACGGGCCACATTCATCAGCCACACGTCTAAGACCTTAAGCCCACTTCTTAAAGGATCTGCACCTGTCAGGGGACATAGAGGGTCCTAGCCTACTGGACCTCCTGAGCTGCTCACATGTCTAAAGCAACATCTGGACATCCCGGCTGGGGCAGATTCCCCATCAAAGGCAACCTGGGGGTGCAGGCTGGTGCGCTGCATGGAGTCGAGGTGGGGGTCACGTGCAGAGCTCCGTGAGGTCTGGAAGCTCCCCTCTCAACCTGCTCCCACCCTTCCTGGAACCCCTGAAAGCACTGAGGGGTTGATGGCATTCCCTTCCCATTCTAAACTCCACACAGCCGATCTGCTTTCCTGGAGAAGCGCCAACCTCGAAGACAGCTCAGTGCTGGGCGGGTTCCCCGCTGCTGCTTGTGCGCATGCGTACGGCCGCCCTGGGCGCTGTGCCTCTTGCGCCTCCTGCGCGTGCGCGGGGCACAAGGCGTGACAGCGAGAGGTGTCGCCGGGAGCCCGGTGCCCTCCTGGATGGGCGACTGGGGCAAGGACAAGAAGAGTCCGAGCTCAATAAATGCGCTGTGCACCCGCCCCGCCCACTGTTGTGGATCCCTGGGAGAGGGTGTCTTGTGAAAACGGAAGCGGTGTCCCCGGAGCAGTGCTCGGAGGGGCCCAGATGGTGGACTCGTGGTTATGGAGGGACTCGGGATGTTTGAGGGATAAAAAGGCATGATGATGAGGGGACAAGTCACGAGTTTATTGTGGGTCTCTTTTTGGGTTCATGTCTCAGGACATTGGAGGAGATATTTTTGGGTGTTTTGAGTTTTAGGCATTTTGTGAGGTGGTTCATGGGAAGATTTTGGATGCCTTTTTAGGTACTGGGGAGTCTCAAGGGAGTTTGAGGCTTGTTGGAAGTTCTCACGCTCTGCGGCCATTGTGTATAATTAAGGGTAGCATAGGGAATTATTTAACAGGCTTGCAGGGACATTTGGGTATTTGGAAAGATCTTGTAATCAAGTGAGGTCTCAGTGGGGAGTGAGAGGGTCACAGGGTCTTACTTTTATAAACTGTCTGGACACTGCCATCCTATGTCCCAGTTTTCCTGGGATGGTCCAGGGTCCTCTGGAATGTTCCAGTGTTCCATCTGGTTAGAGCTCTCTTTCATTCCTTTTGGCCACTAGTAAATCCCAAATTGCATATGAGGTTCCCATGGTTTAGGAGGCAGAGTGCAGGCCTGTGCCGTGCAACAGCCACAAGGGAGCAGGCCTGTGGGTCTTTCCCAACAAGCAGGCTCAGCTGCCAGCCTCTGCCAGCCTCCAGGGCACACCGACCTTCTCATGGCGACACAAGCCCCACCCCAAGGCACACATAGGAAGTCTCCAGGCTGCTTGGGCAGAGGCACAATCATTTTAGATAAAAAATCGAACAAAGAGACCCTCCCACAAGAGCTGAGATGATGAGGCCCTTCTATGCCAGGAAGTCCCAGCCGAGGAGGAAGAATTCCATTCTGGAGTTCAAGTTTCTGTGCAGAGACAGGACCCGGGGACAGAGAAGGGTCCTCCACCCAGTTTCAGTTGGTCTGTCCTCAGCAGTTATGGGCTGAGCCTGGGAGAGGGATGTGGTCAGTTTGTGAGGGTGGACTAAGTTCTTTCTTTCCAGTGTGCATGCGTGTGTACACACACACAGACACACACACACCCGACTTCCGTGTTCCCCTCAGCCCCATGCTGCCCGTCTTACCTGGGGTGATGAGAGGTGGAGCCTCCCCTGGATGGTGACTAAGGAGACAAAAGTGGTGAGATATGCGTCCACCCCATTTGTCCTGGCCCTCCAGGTAGAGGGTTCTCAGCCTGTCCAGACTTATTTTCCTGGCTGCTTTTCCACTGGGCGGGGTGGAGAGGGGTTGTGCAATACCAGGGGCTAATGCATTTAAGGATTTGGGGCCCTCTGGGGATTACCAGCTAGAAACAATGAATCTGGGAAATCTTAGCGGCAGGAACTCTGTGGGGCAGAGTCTGGAGGCCTCTCCTGCTGGGAGAGCTAGCCCTTTCAGGCTGGAAAGCATCTAGCCAGCCTGAGGCAGGCAGGCATGCCAGAACAGCACACATCTTACCCGGGCTTCTGGCGGAACTTGCATTTGCATTTCCCACCTGTTAGGGAGAGGTGAGTGGTCAGGGGAGGGGAGCCCCAGCCCCACCCCACCTGCTCCCCCAGCTCCTCCACTCACTCATGAGGATGATGATGCCCAAGGCGCACAGAACCCCGGCACAGATGAGCCCGCCGACCCGAAGCCTGTGCCAGTCTAGGAGGAAAGAGGAGAGGACCTCAGTGCCAGGCTGTGTCCTCCCCATCCATCCTCCCATCCTCTTGATAAATACATATGGAGCACCTGGGATGCGCAGGGTGCCAGGGACACCACGGTAAGAGAACAGACAGAATCCCAGGTGCTCACATTCTAGTGCGCACACCAGCAAACAAGATCTGTCATTCGGGGTCAGGCGGAGATGGGAGGTTGGAAGAACAATAAGCAGAGTGGGAGCTGGAAAGTCAGAGGGCAGGCTGGGCGTTGTGGCTGACGCCTATTAAGATGGTGCAGAAGTAATTGCATTTTTGGCTTGGTGAGGTGACTCATGCCTGTAATCCCAGCACTTTGGGAGCCCCAGGTGGGCAGATCACCTGAGGTCAGGAGTTTGAGACCAGCCTGGCCAACATGGTAAAACCCCATCCCTACTAAAACTACAAAAATTAGCCAGGTGTGGTGATGGGTGCCTGTAATCCCAGCTACTCAGGAGGCTGAGGCTGGAGAATCCTTTGAACCTGGGACCTGGGAGGCAGAGGTTGCAGTGAGCCAAGATCTCCCCACTGCACTCCAGCCTGGGTGACAGAGCAAAACTCTGCCGCAGGAAAAAAAAAAAAAAAAAAGTAATTGCATGTTTGCCATTAAAAGCAGTTGCAAAAAACACAATTATTTTTGCACCAATCTAATATAATCCCAGTGCTTTGGGACTTCAGGAGTTCTAAATCAGCCTGAGCAACATAGCGAGACCCCCATCTCTACAAAATATACAAAAATTAGCCAGGCATGGTGGTGCACGCCTGCAGTCCCAGCTATTCAGGAGGCTGAGGCAGGAGGATTGCTTGAGCCCAGGAATTTGAGGCTGCAGTGAACTATGGTCATGACACTGCACTCCAGCTTGGGCAACAGAGTGAGACCCTGTCTAAAAAATTAAGTCAGGTGGCAGCTCTTTTAGAGAGAGTAATAAGGGAAGGCCTCTCAAGGGGCTGCATCTGAGCAGAGGTGAGGGAGGGAGCCATGCAGGTCTATGGAAGGAAGTGTTCCAGGCAGAGGAACCAGCAAGTGCAGAGGTCAGAGGCTGGCAGTGTGTCTGCTGTGTCTGGGAGGCTTGGAGCAGGAGTGAGGAGCGTGGAGGAGGTGAGGGCAGAGCGGGGAGTGGGGAGCAGGTCATTGGAACCTGGAGGCCAGATTGGGGGTTTGACCGAATAGTTCACTGCCTCTGGTGAAGCTGCTTCCTGAGCTCCAGGAAGTTTTCTGAAGTCAACGCTTCTCCCAGCAGTTGATCTGAACCAAACAATGGGTCCTTGCAAACTGTCCTCACCTCCTGCCTGTGTCTAACCATCTTGCTGGAATAGAACCTTCCCAAAGGCCAGGTCACCGCCTCTATTTCCTTTAATCCACCGTGTGGAACATTCATTGCCGCCATCCTAGTCCCTTCCTATCTTTGTCCTGTGATGCTCACATCAGACCCTCACCCAACCCTGTGTGGGAACCCTTGGCACCAAAGCAATATGTGAGGTTGAGGGGAGGGGAATGGGGGCACCAGCTCTCACCATAGTAGAAAGGACTGTTTTTATCTGCAAAGAAAGAAAGAAGATCATGAATCCAGGATAACAGCCAGGAGCTGTTATCAATCAGGGGCCCCCCAGGGAGAATTTGGGGGTGGGACGGGTGAAAGAGTCCAGTCTGACTCACCTTCCGGGTCATTGGCATCCAGGACAGGCAAGCCTGGTGGGAGAAGAGGGGAGGGAGCGGAGATGGTGATGCTGGCCTCAGCCAAGCCCTTGGGCAGGGCCCGTGGAGCCTCAGGGGCCTCTGGAAAGGGTCCCCTGAGGGACAGGGGTCCGGTCACTGAGCAGCCGCCTCATCCTGTCTTATCCCATAGTGGAAATGTGGACTCGCCCACTCAGCCCCACACCTCCGAGTCACGCCAGCATTCTGCCACCTGAAATTGGGTCTAGTCTGGGAGGTTTTTGGCCACCGTTTGGTCTCATGTTTCCAGACACATGGTTAATCCATGCCTCCTGCAGCAGCGGGGGACTTTTCTGGTCAAGATGACAGATGGTTTCAGTTCCCAGCTTCCTGTTTCCCCAAATGCTATCATGCTCAAAGCCCATCCTCCTGCTTCCGCCGTATCCACACCCACCCGGTCTGGTGTTTGCACATCATTGAAAGTGACTGACTATTATACACTTAGGTAGACTTTATTGAAAATGTGATCTTGTATCACTACCCTGCAGAGAATACTAGTCTTGCCCTACATAATGGATAAAAAGTGTGCCTGTAATCTCAGAGCTTTGGGAGGCTGAGGTGGGAGGATCCGTTGAGCCTGAGAGGTCAAGGCTGTGTTGAAAAAGTAAAAAAAGGGCTGGGTGCAGTGGCTCAGGCCTGTAGTCCCAATGCTTTGGAAGGCCAAGGTGGGAGGATTACTTGAAGTCAGGAGACCAGACTGGCCAATATGATGAAACCATGTCTCTTCTAAAAATACAAAAATTAGCCAGGCACGGCGGCACACGCCTGTAATCTCAGCTACTTGGAGGCTGAGGCAGAAGAATCACTTGAACTTGGGAGGCAGAGGTTGCAGTGAGCCGAGATCATGCCACTGCACTCCAGCCTGGGTGACAGAGCAAAACTCTGTCTCAAAACAAAAATGAAAAAATGTATGTTGGAAGGTGTTAAAGGTCCAGTTGCACCCAACCGAGCCTGCTCCTTCAAGTTTTTAGAAAATGTACAAGAGAACTGGCTGGGCAGTTATCTTCTTTCAGTGCTTTGAAGGTGTCATTTCATTTCTTCTAGCTTCCCTTATTTCTGTTTAATAGTCAATCAAGGCTGGTGTGGTGGCACACACCTGTAATTCCAGCACTTTGGAAGGCTGAAGTAGGAGGATCAAACTCAGCCAGGGGTTTGAGACCAGCTTGGGCAACATAGGGTCTCACTAGACCCCATCTCTGGAAAAAAATTTAAAAATAAGCTGGGCATGGCGGTGTGTCTGGAGTCCTAGCTGTGCAGGAGGCTAAGAGAGTAGGATTGCTTGACCCCAGGAGTTCAAGGCTATGGTTAACTGTGATTGTGCCATTGCACTCCAGCCTGAGCAACAGAGACTCAGGAAAAAAAAGGAGTGAGAGAATGGGGAAGACGGTGACTTTGCAGCTGTGCAAGCCAGCTCTTCTTGTGTCTCCCTGGCAATCACTGGTTTGACTTTTCTTTATTTTTTTTGAGACAGAGTTTTGCTCTGGCTGAAGTGCAGTGGTGCAATCTCAGCTCACTGTAACATCCACCTCCCAGGTTCAAGCAATTCTCCTGCCTCAGCCTTCCAAGTAGCTGGAATTACAGGCGTGTACCACCACACCTGGTTAATTTTGTTTCCCTATGTTGGTCAGGCTGGTTTTGAACTCCCGACCTCACGTGATCCACCCGCCTTGGCCTCCCAAAGAGCTGAGATTACAGGAGAACGCCACTGCACCCAGCTAATTTTGTACTTTTAGTAGAGATGGGGTTTCGCCATGTTGATCAGGCTGGTCTTGAACTCCCGACCCAGGTGATCCACCTGCCTCGGCCTCCAAGAGAGCTGTGATTACAGGCGTGAGCCACTGCATACAGCCAGTTTGACTTTTCTGACCCTTAAGGAGATGCTGTTCTAACATTTACCACCTCCCTGGAGGCAGAAAAGCACAGGAGAGAGACAGAGGCTTGGCTGTCCCCCAGCCAGGGGATCCAGGGGAAAGAGCAGTGCAGGGATGGCTACTCACCTGCCAGGAACACGAGCAGGCCCAGGGTCACCTTCTGCATGTCAGAGTGCTGGCCTAGAGGGGTGGCGGGAGGTCTGGCCTTAGCAGAGCCACTGGGATGCTGGCCCTGTGCCTGTGGCTCCCCAACCCTCCTCCCCTGCTGCCCAGGCAGGGTGTGCAGCTCATCCGGGCAGGCAGGCTGGCATCGGGACTCGCTGGGCTGAGAGGTAAGCAGCAGCCGTGCTGTGGAGTGGGGCCTGGGTGGAACCCAGGCCTGACTCGGGAGCAGCCGTAATAACTCACTGGACACCAACTTCAGGCTTTCCGTGAATCGCCCACCACCAAACGAGGGTGCCACTGCCTGCTGTTACCCTTATTGGCCAGATGGGGAAACTGAGGCTCTGAGGGGTGAAACTAGGTGCCCTCGCCAGGAAGCAGGAATTAAAGCAGGCCTGGCTCCCCAGCAGCTGCTCCTAACTCAGGGCTGTAAGAGCCTTGGGTGTTTGGGGAAGCAGGGTGCTGGGAGCCAGGTGGCAGGAGGCCCGATTCCCAGGAGTGTCTCCACAGACAGCTCGCAGCCTGCCTGGCCCTGCCAGGACATGGCAGACTTCAGGCTGCGGACTGAGCAGGTTCTTCAAGCTGCTCAGGGCAGGGTGTGGGAAGGAGATGACTTGAGGCTGGGACTGCGGGTAGAGGGGAACAAACTGGGCTTGGCTGCATGTTCCCCGGAACCTCCCGTCCCCTCACCCCCACCCTGGCCCTTCCCAGTCCCAGCCCTGGCCCTGCCTAGCCTGGGTCCCCAGCCCAGCCCCTGACCTGACCCCAGGCCCTTGCGGCAGCAAGCACTTTCTCTCTCCCAGACAGGCCTGCTCAGCATAAGGAACGAGTTTCTCTCTCTCTCCTGACCTGGCATCAGTCCTGCCCTCCCACCAGGCTTCGAGGCTGCGGCAAGCCCCTGGACGCCATGCCCCTGCCCAACTGCTGAGCACATAGTTATCATAATTGTGGTTTTTTTGAGGCAGACTTTTGCGCTGTCGCCTAGGCTGGAGTGCAGTGGCATGATCTCAGCTCACGGCAACCTCTGCCTCAGCCTCTCGAATAGCTGAGGCTGCAGGTGAGCGCCCCCATGCCCCACTAATTTCTGTATCTTTAATAGAGATAGGGTTTCACCATGTTGGCCAGGCTGGCCTCAAACTCCTGTCCTCAGGTGATCTGCCCACCTCGGCCTCCGTAAGTGCTAGGATTATAGATTTGAGCCACCGCACCTGGCCTTGTTATAATTTTGATAGCGAGAGCTGGCACTTCCTTCCCCTCGTCCTGGGGTGCACACTGACCTTGCTGTGTTCTCACTCACCTAACCTCCCAGCAACCCCGAGGCCATCCCCTAGTCTGCATTTCATAGATGGCAGAAATGCTGAGAGAGGGTGGTGCCAGCACCCAATGGTGCGAGTGGTCCCTGCTGATTGGCATAGACTCCTCCCTCTGCCCGCCCGCCCCAGGGCCTGGGAATCCTCTCCGCTTCCCGGTTAATTCCAGATGCTGGACTCACAGTTTTAGTTTGAGCATCCATTTCTTTTCCTTTTGGGGGGGGAAGAAAGCCTAAGACTTTGGGAGCTTTACTGAGGCCCAAGAGTTGGGGGTGGGGGAGCTGGCAAGGGTGGGTGGGCAAGACCACATGGTGGATATGGGCACAGGTGGTAGGTGGCCTGCCTGTGGTCTGAAGCTGTCACCCACAACCATAGGAATCCTGGTAATCCCCGCAGATGCGGACTGACTGTCTACCCACGGGGGCATTTTCTCAGCTTCCGGCTTTTTAACTCATATAATCTCTGCAGCTTCGTGCAGGGGGCACTATGATTAGCCCACTTTGCAGTTGTAATCCTGTGAACCCTGCAAATTCATCTTAAAGCCCTATGCTCTGTCACTGTGGCTGTTGAGTCTCACCTCTTAAGCCTCTTTCCAGGGGCTCCTCCAAGCCACCTCTGGCCTGCGACGCCCCACTATTCCCCCTTCCCATGTTGTCATCCGTCATCCAGCCGAGACTGACAGACGGTATCTGCCTCGCCCAGCCTCTGCATAACAATGTCCAGCCCCACATTTCCGGAGGCTGCAGGGAGCCAGGAGCTGGGTCTGCCCTCATATTCCCTGTTCAGGCTGTTGTTTGAGGCCCCGACTGCTCCTGAACCAACGTGGTTGGCGGGCAGGTTAGAGAGGAAGGCGGCCCTGCAGCTGGTGCTCCGTCACCGGCTGTGATTCTTCCTGGCCACGAGGTCCCAGTGCCCGCCTGAGGACTGTCTCCCCAAACTACCCTCTGCTATCCCCAATTCTTCCGTGACATGGGAGAAGGGGCTCATCTTCAAGGGCGAGCAGAAGCGTCCTGCCCTCTCTGTGCACCTCAGACTTCCCAAGCAACACCCCATTTACAGCTTCCCCCAGCAGCTCCAGCCTCCTTTCCTAGAGGTCTCCAGAATCCAGATTCCCCACAATGCCTGGACTCCCCGGGTCCACCCAGCACTCCTCATCCACCCAGATGTCCCGAGTCCATTTGCACACCACTGGTCCACTTGGATACCCCTGCCTACCCAGGTACCCCCTCTTCTCCACCCGGATATCCCCAGCCCAGATACCCCTAATCCATGCAGGCCTCAGTCTTCCCAGACAACCCAACCACACTTACGGATCCTGCCCTCACCCCAGCTGGCTCAACCAATCGCTGAGAGGAGGATGCGGGAAAGGGACATTAGAGGAAGGGTCTTTCTCTTATCTCCTGGCTCCAGAAACGCACCTCAAAAGAGTTTATGCTCTTTAACAGCTGCGCTTCTATGTGGTAGGGGCAGTGGGTGGGTAGGTTCTCCCTAATTCAGGGGCAGAGCCAAGGAGGGCTTGGAGGAAGGGGCCCCAGCTGCTCACCTGGGTGGTTCACCAGGCTGATCAGAGGTTCCAGGAGAAGTCGGGGCTGCCAGGCGGAGTCCTGCCTTTATCCTAAGCTGCCACGCCCTAAGCAAACCTGGGCAGGTAGAAAACAAGTTAGATGCCCTAAGGCCCAGGGGCTCCATTCCTGCTCTTAAAGAGACAGCTTCACCCCCTCCCCAGCCTCAGGCATCAGGTTGCTCCCTGGGATTCCCAGGGCCACAGCAGCCTCAGGTGAGAGGGAGAATGAGATGGGCTGGAACTCAGCCCCTGGAATTAAGGAAGGAGCTTTCTCCAGTCTCCTGATCCCAGGAAAGGACCTTAAAGGGCGAAGGTTCTGGAGGTCCTTTTTTTTGGGCGGGGACAGAGTTTTGCTCTTGTTGCCCTGGCTGGAGTGCAATGGCACGATCTCAGCTCACCACAACCTCTACCTTCTGGGTTCAAGTGATTCTCCTGCCTCAGCCTCCCAAGTAGCTGGGATTACCAGCATGCGCCACCACGCCTGGCTAATTTCATATTTTTAGTAGAGACAAGGTTTCTCCATGTTGGTCAGGCTGGTCTCGAACTCTCGACCTCAGGTTATCCACCCCCCTCAGCCTCCCAAAGTGCTGGGATTACAGGCGTGAGCCACCTCACCCTTCGGGTTCCGGGGTCTTTAAAGGACAGAGCCTCCAGGGCCATGGAGGGAGGAGGGAGGTGATGCGTTGGTGTTCCGACCTCACTTCTTTTCCTTAGATGACGTGTTTGCCTGATGGAAGGATTGCTGGCAGTTGTGGGGAACTGAAAGTCTCCTTCCAGGCCACATCTTGCTTGCTGGTACAGTTTCAGGGTCAGCAGAAGATGCTGGGATGACCGAAGTCAGGAGATGGGGCAGGGGTGGATGTTGGGGAGCAGCTGGAATGGCAGGGAGGGGTTGGGGTGGGGACTGTGGGACCTTAGGCCTGGTCATCACCCGCTCCCTGCCCTGGGGAGAATGAGAACTGGCTCCCAGGCATCAGGCTGAAGTTTCCTAGCCAGGCTCTTTCCATGGGTGCTGAGAGCCAGATGGCTGGGTCTACAGAGTGGGCGCTGTTGGGGGCGGCAGCCTCCCAGTCCAGATAAGGCCGCTGAACTGTGCGAGTCCCCCTCTCCCTTCCCTCCTCCCTCTCCTGCTCCTCCTCCTCCAGGCATTCCTTCCGGATGGGGTCTGTGCAGGCCCTTCCCATGGTCCCAGTTGGGGGTGCCCCCTCCCCTCAATTCCGCCTTCTTAGACAGAGGGACTTTTGTCTGGGGGCTGGATGGAGAACAAGGATTCTTTGAGCGGTTGGCGGAGGATTGGGGTCACGGGGAGGGGTAGGGCCAGGAAAGGGGTAGCTCTGCCCTGGCCACCAGCTGGACTCCAGGCGACCCCAGCACCATCGTGGGGGCAGGGAGGAGGGCCACAGGGCCAGGCCAGGGAGAGGCAGCTGCTCGGAGTGTGAAGCCCAGGACAGGAAAAGGGGGGTTCGGGTCAAGGCTCTGCCAGGAACTGGCCTGCTGGGGACAGAGAGAAGGACCCTCCACCCCAGTGCTCATCTTGGAGGGATGGGGGCGGGCAATGCTCGCCCAGAGCTACACCCTTTCTCTCTGTGGTTCCCTGGGGCAAGCTGTCAATCCCAAGGCTTCCCTAGACAAGGACAAGGCTCCCTCCTACTCCTGTGAAGGAGGGGTCAGTCCCCACAAGGAAGGGGGCGCCCTCGGGGTAGGGCTCCAAGCAAGAGGCCCGGGAAGAGATAGAAACAGGAAGGAGAGGCATAGGGGGCCAAGTCGGTGTAGCTAAGGGGGTCTTTGTGCCTGAGCAGATAGTGTCTTCCCCAGACCCTTGAAGCTTGATTGTGTCTGGGACGACCCCTTGGGGGTCTTGGGAGTGGAATGGTTTCTCCCTCTGCTGGGAAGCCTGGGAACTGCAGGCATCTGAGAGCAAGTCATGGTGTGTGCAGGGTAGCTGGGGAGGGTGGGGGGTGCTCTGCCTTTCAGCTGAACAGGGTGAACTGGAGAACGGTTGTCTAAAAATCCTGGAGGAACCCCAATGCCCGTGGATAGATACAGAAGTACTTTCCAGACAGATTGCTAAGGGAAAAAATAAAAATAAAAACAAAGTGTAGGGAAACCCTGGAGCATGCTGTCATTTGTGAGCGTTAAAATAATGCATATGCATATACTTCTAATGAATAAAATATTTTTGGAGACTTGCATCCAGGGCTGCTTCTGGGGAGGGGAACTGGGAAGCTAGAGGATGGGGTGGAGTGAGATTCACTCAGCATCACGAGCCCTCTTACAGTTTTTGAATTTTGCATCCTGAAAATGTACTATCTTAAAGAGGTTTAATTCTAAAAATTGGGTTCAGATTTTTAAAAAAATTTCCAGGTCAAACAAAACAAATCTAAGGGCTGGTTTCAACCCGGGAACTAGCAATTAGAGCCTTCTGACAATCTCTGAATGTTCTGTAGTTTTAAACACCATGATCTTACATTCTGACGGACAGATGTTTACAGGATTTTACCCAAGCCAGGTCAGCCATAAATTCTTGCTGGGCTGGACGTGAACATGAGTGAACAAGTGTGTGCTAGGCTGGGCCTGGGGCTGGGGCTGGGGCTGGGGCTGGGGTTTACGGTCAGGAGGATTCTGAGACCCCAGTGTGAGGAGCACACAGAGACCCTTAGAAAGGGCTATGGGACGGGGAGAGATGGCTCACGCCTGTAATCCCAGCACTTTAGGAGACTGAGGCAGGCAGACCACGAGGTCAGGAGTTCGAGACCAGCCTGAGCAACATGCTGAAACCCCGTCTCTACTAAAAATACAAAAATTAGCCGGGCATGGTGGCAGGTGCCTGTAATCCCAGTTATTCGGGAAGCTGAGGCACGAGAATCACTTGAACCCAGGAGGCGGAGGGGGCAGTGAGCTGAGATCACACCACTGCACTCCAGCCTGGGTAACAGAGTGAGACTCCATCTCAAAAATAAAAAAAGAAAGAAAGAAAGAAAGAAAAATAAAAGAAAAAAGAAAGGGCTGTGGGGAACGGAGTTTGTGCAGTCACTTGCCCCCTATCAAGAATGAGGTGTCCTTTGGAGTGAGTCTTCTGGCCAATTTGACCTCCTTTATGTTTTAAAGGCACAGAGGTAACAGGTTTTATATATTAATATAGTGCATATAACATAGACAATAAACATATTTGAAAAAAGTCCTTTTTTTGCTTTTGGAATCATTTGGCCCCAAAGAACCTGTCGAGGCTGCAAATGGCTGTGATTTCTCCTGGGAATTCTTGGAAAATGAAAAAAAAACAAACCTACAAATAGTTTCTGAATATCACAGGGTTTTCAGGAACGCTGAATTGAAGCACAAAACCAATGCCATAGCATGTTATGCCACCACTGATTCAAACTTTTTTTGATTTTGTCTCAATCATTTCATTGCTCTTTATTTAATTAAGGCTGCGAGTGTTTCTGCAGGCTCCTGGCCCTAGAGAGGGCAGCCTGGAGGCGCCCCCAGCCAGGAGAGGGTGCTGGTTGGTTGGAGCTCTGCCTTTGCAGGCAGAGTCTGAGCGGCCAGGCTGATTGCCTGAGAGGTGTGGTCACAGCCATACACAAGGTCCCACTTCCTGGGCAAGATGGGGCCGGAGAGGTCAGGGCCTCCCGGGTTCAATCCATTCTCCTGCCTCAGCCTCCTGAGCAGCTGGGACTACAGGCATGTGCCACCATGCCTGGCTAATTTTTTGTAGTTTTAGTAGAGACAGGGTTTCACTATGCTGGCCAGGATGGTCTCGATCTCCTGACCTCGTGACCCACCTGCCTCAGCCTCCCAAAGTGCTGGGATTACAGGTGTGAGGCACCACACCCAGCCTCTGTTTGCTTTTTTTGTGGTGCTATCTGCCTCCCCTGCTAGTACCTCCGCTCCTCTCAGGAATTTTCATCTGAATTACAGAACAGGGCCTGGCACACAGTGGGTGCTCACGAAGTATCTGTTAATTACCAGGCTGGGCACAGTGGCTCACACCCGTAGACCCAGCACTTTGCAGGGACCAAGGTGGGAGGATCCTTTGAGTCCGGGAGTTCAAGACCAGCTTGGACAACATAGAAAGATCTCATCTCTAAAAAAATAAAAATA